GGGACAGGGGCCGGGGGGGAAGGAAGCCAATGGGGGGGCGAGAGCCAAAGGGGGGGGCAGGAGCCAGCAGGAGGGGGGGAGGCTGAGTGGGGGCGAAAGGCAGAGAGGAGGGACGCCGAGGGGGGGCAGGAGCCAGAGGGGGCGGACGACGACTGGGGGCGGGGGCCAGAGGGAGGGGACGCCGAGGGGGGGCGGAAGGCCGAGGAAAGAGAGGCGGAGGGGGACGAGGCGGGCATGAAGGTGGAACTGAAAGTGGTCCCCTACCAGGAAATTGGGTTCACCCCCAAGATCGTCGCATGCGGCAGAAACGGGAACATCTGCTGGGTGAGTAGCAGCGCAGGCTCTGTCCTTGAATGTTCTGCAAACCCGCCTTGTCAGGCCGGCCGGGTGCAAGCTTTAAAGGGCAGGTTCTCTGCAATCAGCAGCGCAGGTTCTATGCAATCGGCAGCGCAAGTTTTCCAAGTGTCCTGTCCTAGCCCATCTTAAACCAGAACTCTTCAACCTTTGACAAATGGAGATGCAGGCTAGATGATGCACTTAAGGCCTGAAGCACAGCCTCAGGTTGGAGTGAAATGCTCCATAACCTGTTCGTAGGGGAGCATCGGTGGCGAGCGAGTTGCGGTAAAGAAGTTCGAGCCGAGGAGGCCTCAGGCAACGGAAGCGCTGAAGCTGGAGCTGCTTGTGTACAAGAGCGCAGAGTTCCAGTCGCTCCAGGGTGAAACGATCCCAAGGCTTAAGTCTTGCGGCCTGCTGCCCCACACGCTCGTCCCCTTCTTGGCGCTATCCTACGAAGGTGAGTCACTTTGATTGACCCGCTCGCTGCATGCAAGCTCTGATGTGGATTCTCTGCCCCGTTGAGGGACCTGCTGGTTGTGGGCAAGCAATACTTTGGCAGATTAGCGCAGACATCAGGGTTTCAAGTCTGCAGTCTGTCTACGTCTTACCCTTCTTTGCTTTTGTATACCTATTGTCAGCTGATCAGGTGTGGAAGAAGAGGTGACAGAGATTTCTCCGCAAAATGAGCAACACATACGATCCCTCCCTTTGCTTCTAACTCCTCTCATGGACAGCTTTCTCTCAATCTACTGTCGGCCTACTTCTCGCGGGAAAGCTTTTGATCTGGAAGATGAGATGCTCTTCGAATCTGCAGGGGAGCCACTCAAGCACGTGAGAATGACGCGCAGCATCATCGATAGGGCGACCAGCGCGCTCGAGCGGTTCCACGCTGCTGGGCTCCTGCATGGTGACCTCAACCTGAACAACTTTCTGGTGAAGGACGGGAAAGTGATCCTCTGTGATTTTGAAACGGTTCGGCTGGACGCGCTTCCTCAGGAGCAGAAAAAGGAGCGAGACGCATTCTTAGAGCTTCTGAACAAGGTGTCCGCTTGAGAAGATCCTGTGGAGGGTCCTGGCGGACACCAGTACGGGAGCTCGTGCTTCGCTAGCGAGTGAGTGTCAAGTAGCTCTTGGGGGCCATGCCTTTGCATCCGGGGCTTACGCATTTAGTGTGACAGGTGTCAGGTCGTGAAGAGTTTGGCGAAGAGTATAGCCGAACGGTTTGTGCTTCGATCATGCCCGTCTAGGGCACTGCAGCGCCGTCAAGTTCGCCACTCGGAGCAGGCCCATGCACCTATGAGATCTTATGCAAGACGCGTCCAAGCGGGACATTGTCGGCCTTGCTGTATGATAATTGTGTGACCTCCAATGGCTCAAGTCTCTGGAGATTGTTAGAATAGGTTACGATATGATGCATAACCTGTCAATAGGATCGAACATAGAAGGGAGTGTAAATTGAGAAACCCGAGAGTAGTTTACCGAAGCTCAAAACAGTAGAACAAGCTAGGGATGATTGTATCCACATGGCTAGGGCGTGGATCGCTCTTCCTAAGTCAACTCGCTGACTCGTGCAACAAGATACATGATCTCAGTGGTCATTTCCCTAAATGATTGGTACAGAGGCCGACATAGAAGGCTCGCTTCATGTGTCCGGTAACTTGTGCTCAATCAGATGGACTTGTGTTCCTATGTACATGGCATGCTTGCCTTATAAGCGGATTGCAACGCTCCACTATATTTTGATTCGATCAGAACTCTGCAAGGTCGCCAATTAGTGCAACCCTATATTGGCTTGCCTGTCTCCAAGGGAGAGAAAGCAACCACAGGAATCGGCCGTTTCGGCGCTGCTCTGCGGGCCTGCGGTTCGACCTGCTTGGATTGGCTGGGTTCGACGATAAAACGTACGGTACGGCATATAAAACTGGGCCAATCGTGTGCAACTTATAAGCAGACTAGGCCCCTTTGCATGGCGCAGTTAGAGCTCTTCGCATCGAATATTTGCGTGCGACCTGCATTGGATGTCAAAATACGTGCGGGCTTTGTGCATGTACGGTAGTCCTCGCACAAAATCAGTGTCACATGATTGTTCCGTACATTGCATCTGCGCTGGTCCTATTGCATGGGCTGATATTTAGTGACAATAGCTCGATATGTGGTGTGGTGTGTACTCGGTTTCGAGATTGTCAGTTGCTGAACTGCTTCCATGCTCCTGTCGCCTCATTCTTCTTTCTTCTATGCAAGCGCCTCGAGCTCCGGCTGTCTGAGCGTTCTTCGAATAATGGCTTCCCCTGCTGATGATGTGGACAGGTACGGACCGCTGGCTTTGCTAGGTGACGCGGTGCACGCGACTTCGCTTGATGGTCGTTTTCGGGAATGCGCGGGCAAAGTCGTTAGTTGGGAGGGGGAAGAGGCCGGGTTCTCCGTTGAAGTACTGACGCCGTTTTCCTTAGAACGGGATGTAATCAGCGTTGTACAGGCGTGTGAATTGAAATACGCGGTCATAGTACAGGGCCCTGTAGATGAAGAGTCGCATGGAAATTCGCCTTCTTCAAAACAGGGGTTGGAGAGCCTGGAGATGATCTTGTGCCCATGGAAGTTGCATTGTACGAATAAGGTGCTTCCGACGGCTGTTAATTGTGAGAAATGCGGCAGTGGCGGGAGGAAGCGTTTGAAAGAATGTTCGTATTGTACTTATAGAGCGTTTAGTCAAGCTGTATGTGGGAATTGCAAGCATAAGTTTGCCGAGTATTCAGCGGGCCAGCATAAGCAGCGGTATATAGGTGTCGGTCGAAGCGTGCAGTACGACCTGGATCAAGGCTGCAGCACCACGCGCAAGTAAGCACGCCCGTAATATTCCGGATAAAGTATTCCTCGTCGAAGCATTCTCAATTGTCTGTGCCATTTCGATACACGAGTTCTACTCAGAGAAGCATCTCGACGGTTTCTAAGAAGCTTCCTTCCATACCAAGACTGGCAGCATGCTCGAAGAGAGCTGTAGCTTCTGAGATTGAGAGCGTCGCAAGTGGAACAACGGCCGTCTGGCTAGGGGGTCCGCATCCGGGCCGTCCTCTGGTAAGACACACGCAAGAGTGTCCAGCAGCATGTGCGCATGCGTTTGGGAGATGCTCAGGGCCTCTGCGATTGCGAAGGCATCTACCCTGGTGAGTCACAGAATGTACTGCCACTTTGTGTTCCAATGCTTCAACTTGGTATTGCAAACTCACATCAATCTTGACGGGAGTCTCGCATGCTATAACATCCTACCTTTTCACGTGCCAGGCTGGCTCGATAACAATGACCGTCTTTCAAAGTAGTGCGAAATGTCACCAGACGTTACAATGATCTGTGAAGAACGTAGTGGCCCCCTCGACTAAGGAAGGTCTTGCAACTTTGCGCCAGTTACGAGAATCTCTCCTGACATCGACAGAGCACAAGTTTTCGCTTAGCAATAGACAAATAGAGGGATGCCATGCTAAAATAGCCCTAAAACCGTAGCCTACCTGACAAGGAGGCACCGTCTCTTGCACTGCGACGCCCTGGGGAATGAGGACGGAATCAGAGGGCGCTTGGGCGGTCGAGGAGGGCAAAGGGGGGCGGGGCGCAGCCACGTCCGACTCTGGCGCAGCAGGCGTGGCGAAGCGGGCAGGGGCGGAACCGGAGTTGGTCGTGCCCCCCAAGTCCTGGGGTGCAGCAAGCGTGTTCTGCTCCTACTGGGCTGCCCTTATCGCGCTCTGGGCAGCCACGGCGCTGGGGAGGGGCCGGACGGCGAAGTGCGCGGCTCAAGCGAGATTAGCCCGGCCGCGTCAAGGGCGGTCGGGGCACCGTCGGCAGCTACGGTCTTCGAGAAAGTGAAAAATACGGAATCAGACCGTTATTCTCTCATACTCGCAGCACTGCACAAAAAGCTATGACTTTCTTGAGCATTCCGTGTGCGGGGTCAAGTGAAGCCTGATAAACGAGCAAAACACTTGCGCCCGTTCTTAGTGACTACTTTGTTGAATGCAGGTGCCGCGTCTCAAAACTTCGAACGTGCTTTGAAAGATCTGTGTACATCGGCAGGCATTCTAGAAAGGGCGCGACGAGCACTAGCCGCTCATGCAAGGAGACAGTGATTCTCCGAGCATGTACATTTCCTGCCCTCTTGCCAACCCAAAAGATCACTGCACAAACCGCCCAGGGCTGTCCGACTTTCTCATTGCTTCCAAATCTCAAAACGCGCCGTCTGATTTCGTGTACATCAGCAACCAAGTCGGAGATTGAATGGCTATGTACACGAACACCAGCTTCCAAGTCGGCGGTTAAATGGCGATTGATGTACACCAATTTGTCAAACGCCCTCATGTCTTCTGCAACTTTGCCTGCAATTTGCGCGCTCGCTTCTCTGGGCATGCAATCAGACCTTGATGCGGTTTGCTGAGTGCCCCGGATTCGAAAACTAAAGTTCTGTCCAAATGCGAGTCAGAGGAAGGGAGGAGGTGCTTACCTGGCGGCTGGCCCAGCGCGGACGCGGGACGATCACGCACGCTCTCGCAAAGTCGTCCTCCAGGCTCAGGTCGAACAGGTCCGGCCTGCCGTCGTCCTCGGGTTCTGGCGGGAGGTCGTCGGACCAGCCGTCGTCCTCGGGCGCCGAAGGGAGGTCGTCTAGCATCGGGCGATCCGTCCCAAGCGCAGACCCTTCCTCTGGCACGGGGGGGTGCTCGGCGCTCACGCCCTGGCTGCGAACCGGGGACGGACTGTCCTTCTCCTCGCCCGAGGAGTCAGAGGGTGAGAGGAGCACGCGGCGGCGACGGCTGGTTTTGTGCGGGTTGGTCGCCACATCAGGCGCGCGCCGCTTGAGCCTCGCCAGCACTTCGGAGAAGCCCTCTGTCTCGGAGTCTGTCTCCATCGCGGCGTTGAACCGGCCGTGCTGCACCACCTCCCTCTCCTCTTCCAGAGGGGCGTCGTCGATCATTGCGCGATCCTGGGTGGTCTCCTCGTCCGAGGTCTCGTCTGCGCTCTCGAACTCCGCCCCCTCAATGTCCTCGCCCTCCCCTTCCGACTCCGCCTTCTGCGACTCGTCCTCGCCAAAGAGGCGCGGCGCCTGCCGGTCGCTATCAAGGCTCGCCTGAGAGGGTATGCATGACGTTTGTCAGCAGATGGTTATTAAAAAATGTAGCGCTCCATTACACATCTGCCTCCCTCGGCAGGCCCCTCAACCTCCTCTGGTGCAAAACGCCTGGGCCCTCCTCGGCAGCCCCGAGTATCCAAGGTTGCGGCACATCTTCCATTACAGTTAGAAAGCGCTGCAGTTGAGGGTGCAGATCATGTCCGAGTGTCTCAAATTGTGGCACACCTTTTGGGAATGAGCTTCTCTGTTGACGCCAGTATCCATCCCAAAGAGAAAGCGCCTGCAACTGAGGGCGTGGACCCGTGTCCGAGTGTCCGAGATTGTGGCACAACTTTTGGAACCAGCTACTCTGTTGACGTCAGCACCCCTCCCGGAGAGAAAACAGCTGCAACTGTGGGTGTGGGCCGTGTCCTAGTGTCCGAGATTGTGGCACACCCTTTGGGAACGAACTTGTCTGATGACGTCAGCACCCATCCCTAGAAGTTCATCACGTTTTCTCAGTCATGAGCCGCTGAAATTGTGATGTCAGTATCAGATTTCTCGACCCGAAATCTGCAGAAAGAACGATACCCATTGATGGACTGAACCCTGATCTTGAGCGTCCCAAACTGACATAGGCCCCAAATTGACATACTATACGAGCGCGGTTGCCATCCTTGAAGCTTCCGTTGACAGTCGCTGGAGTCGCTTACTTTTACAGCAACCAGAACATCTTCGTTGATGATAAGCAGCGCTGAATTCTTGGCGAGAACCCCAAGAGGTTGACGCACATATACACATACAACCTGATTCTAGAAGTCTTCTGGGGGTGTATGCAAATGTGTCCGCTTGCTTGGTTCTCTCAAGCAACCGCATGCACTCGCTAGAGGCACCTGGCTGTGATGTGCGCTCGATGGCTGTGGCCGACCGTCAACGTCCATGGATTCGCCAGGGGCGCCGCCCGACCCCTTGACAGGGAAGCTGCTTGTCATCTTCTCTGTAGGGCTCGGGGGGCTGCCCTCTGAGTTGCCTTTCTCCTGCACGTAAGCAAAGGTATCATTGAAACTCCGCCATACAGGCGGAAAATCCAGGCGGAGGTCACAAGAAAGCCCCCAATGTTGGCAGGTGGACCGGCAAGTGCTCGTGCAACATCACGATATCAGACTGCTTGAGCAAGTGTTGCTGACATCATCGAGAAATGTTCATGTTGAAATGGTGGTGACCAAAAGTTGGACACTTTGGACAGGGTCCACCCCCGGAAACATATGCAGCGAGTTCCTGTCAGGGCATGTCTCCTGACGTCATCAACAATCTCACGACAGAAAGGTGTGTCTAGAAATCGGACTTTCAGACAGAGCGTGCCCCGTCGATCCGGGTGTTTTGGATAGGTCTTTCACATCAAGCCTGCTTCATGATGTCAGCAGTGGCAAAATGGCAAAATGGGCTGGGGAACACTCTGCCAACACTTCTGTCCGAATGTCCGAGTTTCTGACGTGCCTTCTGGATTGGGGCCTGATTCTTGACGTCAGCAACATCATGGCAAGCCAAGATACGAACAACTTGGCACTACCGGTGCTCAGACCACCGGCTATTCCCTTGAGGTGCGGCTATCTGTGCAAATTGGACGCGCACAATCGAAGCCAGAAGCTCTCCCCAAGTGTCACAACATGTGCCAATTGCGACTCACTGATAGGTCCGGGCTTGGGGCCCACATCCCAGTACCCACGGGCGTCGGAGAATTCTCCCTGCTCGACTCCGCCCTCTTCCGGCGGAATCTCTGTTCCGCTGCTGGATGGTGAGCGCCGGCGGGGTGCGGGTCGCTGGAAGGGCCGGGGTCCTACAAGGCAATGAGAGGGTTATCAGCTTAGGAGCAAAGCGCACAGGGAGATGGCAGCTTCAATCGATGGAATGGTACAACAAGTGGTGCACGATTGGGTCGAATGACGAGCAAGATGAAAATGTGTTTTAAGCTCGAACCTCAAAACTGATCGAGAGACTCTAGCGGTGGCAGCCAAGTTCCAAAAAGCGGCAGCTTCTGCGATTGCAGAACTCTGGTGCAAGGGCGCATGCGAAGATCTGGGGTTTTATCCTAGCCGTCGCTGTTCTGGGGGGGGTTCTTGCGCTGGTCAGGGCACGGTCTGGTAGATTTCTTCAAGGAGATTCTGAATGATGACCAGGAATGCGAGGACCTCGAGGGCGAGCTTTCGAGGCGCATCTGCCTGGCAGCGACCCAGGATTGCAAGCCGATCTCTTCCCTGGCGGTGCTTGGTGCGGTGGGCAATTGAGGGCTTAAATTACTGCTTTAACAAGATGCGCTGCAACTGTGGAGAGGCCCTCGTCCGAGTGTCCAAGATTTCAACCCACCTTCTGCGCTTGGGCCTGCCTCGTGACGTCAGCAACTATCATGACAAGCCGGATTGCTAATAATGGGTGCCTTTTACACTAACCTGCGAGTCGTTGGTGGCTGCTTTAAGCTGCTGCGAAGCTTCCACTTCCTCTCTCAGCCTGCGTTGGAAGTCGCGGAAGTGGCTAGGGTCGATGAGGCCATGTAGAGCAGGTCTGCGCGGCTGGCGGATCTCCTGGGCCTGCAAACAAAGAACCTTCAACGTGATTGTTGGCTAAGGAAAGAGGCTCTCAGCCGCTTGATACAGATGCTTCAAGCTGCCAGGTGAGGTGGGTCAGGCACCGATTTCGACCGATGAGTTGCATCGGGTAGGTACGTCAGGAGGAAGGCGACGGCAGTGGGTTAATTTATCTGCTGACCATTGCAAACTCTCAAACTGAATTACTAAACCACAACAAGTCCCGAGCTTTCAGACTTCTTATCAGAGTTCTCCCGTCCGCGCTGGGCTCCAAGTGTGCCTGCTCGCAGAAGATTCTTCGATTAGTGATGTATCAAGAGGCTAATCTTGTACTTGACACGGAAGCAGGTTAGCCCCGGATATGTAAGCAGGATTGCCATCTCGGACTGAGTGCGCCCATGAATCCACCTGGTTGGAGCTCCAACCTGAAAAAATGGCGATAAGAACTGGGACGCTCAGACAGACTTCAACTACTGGGGACGGCATTCAGGATGGCTGCTGACGTCATCCAGGAGATCCCCTTCGAAAAGCTGTGACAAGAACTCGGACGCTCGGACAGAGTCTGCGCCATCAACTACAAAGGATCGTATCCGGAATGGCTGCTGACGTCATCCAGGAGCTCCTGCCTGAAAAGCTGTGATAAGAACTCGGACGCTCGGACAAGGTCCCCGCCAACAACTACAAAGGATTCTATCCGGGATGGCTGCTGACGTCATCAAGGAGCTTTGGTCTCAAACGTTGTGACAAAAGCTCAGACGCTCGGACAGGGTCTGCGACACCAATCACACTGGATGTCTCACCTGCAGCCCTTTGTGCAACATGAGGGAACTTTGAGAGCTGTCCTCAGGCCCACGGCCACCATGAGAATCCGTCTTATCCATGGCCTGCACAGCGTCGGACACAGATCGAGACAGGTACGCATCGGCATCACCATAAACATGCACAAATTGTTCGACCATAGACAGTGAGTGTTCGATCTGATTCCCCCCTTTTGGACAAGAGCCCACGCGCAATCCCACAATCAACCCCAGTGAATCGTGAACCCGATCGACAATGGTTACAACATTAGCCCGACAGCGGGCCCTGATTCAGCAAAACCACCCCGCTTCCCCAAGCATCAGAGAAGTTAGCGCAGCGGCAGCTGTAATAGCCCCCAAACAGCTTGGCCCTTCCTCAAGCTCAACAGCTGACCCAAAGATGGGGCCTAGTCAGCACAGCGACGGGGTTTGAAAATCACCCCCACAGTATAAGCCTACTGGTCAGCAAGTCCGGACCAGCCCAACAGATGGTCAGAACCAGCCAGCTGAAAAAGAGGGCAGGTCGTTCAAGCCTGCCCTATGGCAAGGTCAGCTCACTAATATTCAGCAAGCTTCTTAGAGTGTGCTTCTTCAATCAGTGCCTATGCCAGGCTCGATGCACTTGAGATGGACCACACGCTCTAACTCTGGCAAAGCGAAAGCCACTGTACTCACCAGTCACTGTCTCATTGACCGAGCAGCGCTTCCCTGGGCAAATGAACAGCGCGTGCCTGACAGCAACGCAGCTCTCCCCAGGAAGTGATGCGGCCTTCTTTTGCTCAGCCTCGCAGCGCCGAGCCCCTCGTGCACTGGCAGCTGCAAAGGGCACAAAAAACGGATCAGTTCCAGCGTTTCTCCTTGACCTTCCGACCAAGTGCAACGCACGCTAAAGCCCACTCGTGCCCCAGCCAGTCAAGTCCCTAGACGCACACCCCCTCTGAAACAAACCCAAGCGCCTAACCAGCACTCAACCAGCACTGACCGGGCGCTGACCGAGCACCTAACCAATTCTGACCAGCGCTCGGCAAATCAGCACCTGATTAACATTCCAACCACGCTAATTCAGCACCTAACCAGCGCCCACCCAACACTGAACCCACGCTGACCCTGCGTCGAAGTAGTGTTGACCCTTCGAGCAAGCACCTTGGTGCGTTTGCTTCTGAAACGCATCTCCTAAAAAGCAGCCCCAATGAATTGACACCTTTTATTTCCAAGCGCTCCCACCTAAGCTTGCATGATGGTGTGCTCTATGACTTTCTACTGATCAAGTTGTCCAGCAACAAAAGGACCTCCTTCCAAGCTCTGAATTCACCTAACAATCCCACAGCAAGTAGTCGCAGAGAACTCACCTTCGTTTCTGCCTCAGGTTGACAACTATTTTGGATTTCACTTTCTGCTCTTGTTTTGAGCTCCAGCAGTCTAGGACCAGCTCGTGTGCAGGAACATGCCAACCAGAGAAGAACCTGGAAGGGTGCAGGTGGCCGCCAGCTTGGAACCTGTCTCTGGAAAGTTCTCCAGCTGGGGCCGGCTGGAATGAATACTACGTGGCAGTCATGCAGGCCTTCGGGAAGGCTGCCATTGACCGCCATGGTGCGCCAACACCAGCTCGGCACCATTGGCATTGGTGTGCCAACAGTCGCCAATGCCACCCACCTCGCTAATTGCCAAGCTCAGCACCTTGCCGAAAATGCAGTGGTAGACCGTAGAACCATAGAATTTCCGGAAGAGATCATTTCGGGCCACTTTAGAGATTTTTCGGAAAAGGGTGCGAGAAATTTTCGGAACCTGACTCGCACCAACAGATGTAAGTTCTAGAAGGCTCAAAGATGCCGGCCACTGATGCCGACTGAAGATAGTCGGAAAAATCATCATTTACGGTGCCACCAGACAGCAAGACAGGACAGACAGGACTTCTCATAGGTATTGGCTCCCGTCCTATGCCCGTCCACACCAGGCAATATGAAATATTATTGTAATGTACGGCGCCACCAGACTGGACAGACAGGACCGACAGCTGACTTTTCGACAGTGGCTCCCGTCCTATGCCCGTCCACACCAGGAAACCTATTAGGGACTGGTGAAATCGTAGTTATCTGACGGCCCGGGGGAAGCCTCCGGAAATTTTTCCACCGTCCGATGGACCCCCCCGCCAGGATAAATTTTGACTCGGAAGACACTTGGGAACCGACATCCGGACCAGGTTAGACCTCGGTTAAATCCAAACCCGCTACAATTCGACTCGCGCCGCAAACGGCGGAACCTCGAACCCGACTCGACCCACCGGGCACTGACCCCAAGCTGAACCCCTGAACTTCCGGAGCACACATGCCACGTGGCATACCGAACAGAGACCGGGACCACTGAACGTGCCCTAGATTCACTCGGAAAAGTTCCTGCTCAATGCTGGGCATTCTGCGCGAGTCCCCCCGGTACATACCAATGACTTGGGGAACCTCATGCCCAAGTCCAACTAGCAGTGCCTTATTTTGACATCTCAGTTTGACTGGTGTACGTGGAAACCTGAAGTCCAAGACCAGCTAGCAATCACCTTTTCGGGGCAAGGTAAAGGTTTGAGCGCCCCAGGTCCAACAGGGTTTGTTGAGCTCCCGGGTCCAACGGGGTTTGTAGAGCTCCCGGGTCCAACAGGGTTTGTTGAGCTCCCGGGTCCAACAGGGTTTGTTGAGCTCCCAGGTCCAACAGGGTTTGTTGAGCTCCCAGGTCCAACAGGGTTTTCTCAACGGAGCATGTGACTGCCAGATGTCCTGTTTATCACGTGGTCACTTGCTGACTCACAATACTGACTGACACGCGTGCTAATGTAGTACGTGGCGGTCAGATTCCTCAGTCCCGCCATTTCTTGGGGCACAAACGTTACCGTCCCGGTCAGCACACCTAATGTGAGTGTATGTATGACGGCCTCCACAGCAGACTGCAAGCACTCGGGCTATTTAACTTGGTCTCCGATATGAGGCCTTGACACAGACAACTCAGAACACTCAATACTGAGCATTTTGTTTTATCTTGTTGAAGAGGCGGCAAGCAAGGAGTATGCTGAAGAAACATTAGTTTTCTGTTGTCATGGCCATCGAAGACATGAGTAGCTTGCCTTGGATGGGGTGTCGACAACGGAGATTGCGGGAGCAAAATAGAGGCGGCGCTGAGGATCAGGTAAGCTGTGGAAGTCATCGTGGATTCCGTCTATCTGACTACTTTGTTGGCACAGATCCCTGTGTGTTGTAAATGTAGTTTTATACTCCTGCATTTGACACTTAGGCATTCACAGAATTCACAACCAACCCATTTGCTTTATCACGCCAGATTGATGCAAGTAAACATTCTGTCAGATTATGAGCTGCGTTTTTTGGTCGTTACTCACTCTTTGATCCATTCCAGCTCAGGTCCGTCAGATGCCTCAATTCAGTACAAATAAGCGACTAAAGTCTGAACATATTACATTCAAAGTCCTATCAATTGACCAGGACTATGTCCAGCTCAGATGTCAACCAGGATAGATGAGACACTCCTCGCAGACGTCCTTCAGTGTTTCTAGATATTGTTCGATGTGCCCAGGTTGAAATAGCTCGATTGAAACTCGGTATGGAGCCAGGACCCGATGACAGGATGCCTCTGCCAAACGGCAATTCTCTGTGGCAAATGCCTATAGTTGTATGTTCTGACCGTAGTAAGTAGCATAACGACTCCTCAGGGCTGGGATGGTACCTCGCCACGACCCTGTCTTTACCACGTTCATGTCTGTAGAAGTCACCAGATAGACAGACCCCATGAGACTCTTTTCACTGGCAGCTTCTTTAAGCTCCGCGAATTTTGCTTCGTCCCACAACAGACTCTTGAACGGTATGAGATGCTGCTCCATACTCGTCAACCGCCCCACCTGAACATCGGTTTTTGAGAGGTTCGTGTGTCGGCGCTCGATCTCCTCTATGAATCATGCGGCAAATCATGCTGGCCAAGGATCTCCGGAACGCCGTTGCCACCTTTCCAGGAAGGACGTAGGCTATCTCAATAAGAGTTGTCATGTCAGCTACTGGCGTCAATCTACCAACGCCATTTATCCGTACCTTTTGCACCCTATCACCAGGTGCCTTGAACTCTGGGAATTCGCAAGCCAGTCGTGTATATGTCTGCGTAATATGCGCTTGATCACACCTACTAACCGCCTGCACCACGCCATTTACTGAAGCTTTCTGGGTTGCGCCGTCCAACCTGATATGTTGAATGGTTCGTAAAGGTTTGGTCCTGACTTGGGCCATCGTGCTGACTTTCACTTGCCTTGAGCACGGAGTCTTTAACTCCTTCTCTATTCCCACTTCTCTATCGCTTAACGGCACGGACACAACACTGCGTGACTGCAGATTCTCCAACATGCTCTATCGCACCCCCGAGACTTCCTTATATGTCATCCATTGTGCGCCAGGTGCCGGACTCGAGCCGAACCTGCAACAGCGGCTCTCTTTTGAACCACCACAGCGGCAGCCCTGCGCAACAGGTGAGGTGCCGTGGTTGACTTTGCCCGAACTTCCAGGGAAACTATAACAGGCAGCAACAGACATTCTAAAAACACATCAGCGTAGCACACCATCACTCTCGACAAATCAGAACGTGCCATGTGGGAAGGGGCTGACCCAAAGTTCCACTCCAGAGGACACCTGAAAAGGGGGGTCCTGACGTAGTGCGTACTCTTCTGCAGGCACCTCCCGACAACATGACCGCCCACTTGCCGAGCACGTCAAGTCAGAGAAGAGGTGTCGAGCACAAGCAAAAAGAGGCATCTTCTCCAGAACGGGTAAGCTCCTCACGGCGTCCCATCCACACACTTGCTGTCACGGCCTCGTCCGGTAGAGCACAAGTCTTCGCTCGATTTGCCCCATCATGCCTTCTCACCACCACTCGCGTCCGTCCTCCTCGCAGCCCTCCACTCCCAGCGCCACCTCATCGTCATCACGCAAAAACTCATCGGTGTCGTCAGCACTTTGTATTCATTCACAAACTACGTCACAGGGAACAAGAAACATGCCATGGGCGGCAAAAGACATGCCGTAGACACTGGCGTTCTAATTTTTCATTCACGGAATCAATAGCTGTCCTTCTGTCCTCCTCAAAACAAACAAAAGTAGTCTGGTGTTTCTAACAAACAAGATAGTATAATGGGTGCAACTCAGGTAGGATGGCCTGGATTCTGGGTGGAATGGTGGGAAACCGTTCGGCCGAAATGTTGGTTTTCTCCAACACAGAGGTTCGATCCAACGAACGCGCGGCACAGACTCGTCGATCTCGAGCTGAAGCAGAGGATGATGGAGAAGGGGTCGCTGGAACAATTGCTCTCCTACTTGGTTAGGGGGGCTGTCGATTGGTACATGCGCGGTGGGCTTGGCGAAACCCCGACCGCGATGAAGGCGAGCCTTAATCAGTATTTGGCGAGCAATGACAAGCTACAGAAGTTCATAGAGGACCACTGCGCGATCAGAGAGGAGCTGAGGGCCCCGATGATGAACTTTCTGAAAAGCTACAGGGATGCAAGAACAGAAGTTTCACCAGTTCGGAATCTTGCAACGTAAGCAAGTTTGAGAGAAGTGCATTTCTCGGATGATGGGCTCCAGTCAACGCTTGCTCTTGTTTTCAAGAATGCTCCATACTAAACACACATTGCCATAGAGCGTTTGTGCTCTGTGAAACTGTGCTATCAGTAAAATGCTGACATTCATTGCTGCTCCTTCTTCACTAAGAGACCCAGTGCTGTGAAAGCTCAGCTTCAGGAAATATCGTTGTGAAATGGCAAGTTTTTCCTGTGCACTTTGCAAGGAATGGTTCCAGAGACTACCCCAAAAACCCTAAAATAGGCTCTTGCAGAGCCACCACGGGGTGCAAGTTGTGCTGGTGGAGAATTCCGGACCAGCATGATTTGTAGCGTCTGTCTTGAAGAGGTGGATGATTTCAATGTCCGCACCATGAAACGGGTGCGCGAAGGAGGAACGGCGAGGATGAAGCAGAGCCACGGACGCCCTACAATGTGCGAGTGTGTACAACCCCGCAGTGTCGCATGGTGTGGAACAGAGACGTCAACGCAGCTCATAAGATAGCTTGGATATGCATCTCGATAGTCACAGCCTGCGGAAGGCCTTTGGAATTCAAGACGCAGGCTAGACCGGGCTAGAACAGAATGTACTGTGCGGCAATCGAGTTCACACATCCAAATACGGCTAGGGGTGTGCCAAATTTTTCTCTGACCAAACTGTACTAGAGAACGTACCACAAGATGCATCAAATTACTCGACAACCAGCCTGTAAGAAGACAGCCCGTTCTTCTTTGCCATTTCAAGTCCTCTCTACACTTGGACACTGGGCTCAGGACCTCGATACGATTACAATGATGACAGCAGCCGAGAGAACACCAAGGACGGCCGCTGATACGGAAATGGAGTAGATCCGAGCCACCTACATATGTAAGAGTGAGATGGTGGCATGTACGCAAGTATGACGACAAGAGTGGAGATCAAGGAAGATTATACGACGTAACGAAGACAAGACAAGATACGACAACAGAATTCTCGATAAACTTGCACAAAAGTAGAAGAACAACAAAAATCAATCCTGATTAGCCAGACTAAATTTTTGGAAGGCCAACTACGGTCATCAAGCAGCATAGTATGTCACAAACAGCTTGAAGTACAGCCGCAGAATGTAGCTTCCTCAAAAGTGCTTTAATGACTAGTCCTTCACGTCTTGAAAATTTGTGCACTGCAGAAGCTTGTGGGAAACACTAAGTCACTCTCCAAGTATAAGTGCTGAGTTTGCAGCGCATTCTGTATTGAAATTTCGTACAATCTTGGAGCGAAACATCGCAGTTATGATCTTGCGAGTCTAGTTGACGGCAGCAATGGTCCAAAGCTTCTAATGTCCATGGCTGCGGTAGCATAGCAGGAAGGTGCCAGTTGGCTAGCAATCCAACCTCAACTCTGATGTGCAGGCCTAAAGCTGGGCCTATTTCTGTTGGGCGCGGATCTTCGGGTAGCAAGATTTCACAAGAGTGGAGGCCAGCAGTATGAAACTGAAGAACTGCAAGTAGACGCCGAATCCCCAAAGGCGAAGAGATGCTGCTTGAGAGCGCACGCAGTGCCATCCAAGTCATTACTGGAGCTCTGTTTGGACTCTCGGCGCCTGACAGGAACCCCAGGCGCCTGCACTCAGCCGCATGAGTCCAGAATACGCAACCCAAGAAAGAGCAAACCGAGCTGCACCAAGGCGCCCATGAAAGGTTCTTTGACCTTGAGAACCGAGGTGCCCTGCTGAAGTGACTGGCGTGACTGGCGTCCCTAGGTCAAGAAACGAAGGTCGGGCTTGCACTCACGCGCACTGCTTCCCTGCGTATTGGGGTAGGAGGCGCGCGCTCCGGCTCGGAGGGGGCAGGACGGGAGGGATCCTGAGGTAGAAGCTAGAACGCAGACAGCAGAGATTTATTAGAGACAACATTGCGAGCAACCAACAACACCATGAACGGCACCAGTGCCACGAGTGCCGTGCATTGAAAACCGCAAGAGTCTCCCTCTCAGTCTGAAAATGATAAGAGTACGCAAACCATGTCCTTTCTATCCTTGGTTCATCGCTTTTGGGTCCGTCAAGGCACCTCACCGGGAGTGGTGCAGGAATGTTGGCCGCTTCGCAAGTGCAAATCTCGCACTTGTTGTTACCCCGACTTGTGAACCAATGGGTGATGCACGTGCGATGGGCCTGCAATGGGGAAAGATGAGTGAGGGTTGCTCACCTGAGACCTTCTTTGGGATCCAAGGAATGATGCAAGCAAACAGCCCAGGGAGTGCAAGCAGCACAGCACCATGGTGTGTGGCACACGCGGCATAAAGGAAGGAAAGGGGTGCAGCTCACCAGGTTGAGGCCATCTCGACAGTCACACCCGATCTCAATAAGGGGCTCCTCGGCACCTATTGTGTAACAGATTCTGCACAGAAACAGCATGCAAGGAGCATGTCATTGTTGCCGTTCCCCAAATCACAAATCTTCAGGTGATATCCGAGCTTTGCTGCCAGAGTCTGTGATCAGACTCACACTGCCTGCGGCTTCCTGCCGAACCTTCTAAGCATCCCGGGCTCCAGCAAGGCCGCGGCCAGCAGCCCAAGCGCCTCAGGGAAGCCTAGAGAGTCTTACCCAGAGCTCACCCCCGCCGGATTCGAGCTTGTAGATAACAGCGCCAGCGAGGGGGGCATTGACACCCCTGTACATAACCCTGTAGATACTGTACATATCTTACAGCCTGTAGATAGTGTGAATAGCCAGCTTCCAGTAAAGCTCCCGGCGATTGTAACCGGGAGTCCAGCAAGTAGTGTCAACATTACAAACCCCTCCCCCGTCGAAGAGACAGAGCTTCCGGAGACAGTGACGGCAGCGGCGCGCTGCCTCGCCTTCCTGGGCTACCGCCCGTTCCCGCTGTGGCAGGCGGCGGAGGCGCCCAGGGAGGAGGCGAGAGAACTGGACAATTTAATTTGAGCGCCAGTGTTCTAGAAAGGCCGCAATTGACGAGACCGTGCATACTTCGCCCCAGTGCACCCCTTCCAGACATAGTCCCACCACCTTTGAATTGTCCCTACATCATCAGGCGCACCCTCACCTGCAGAACTCAGCGTTGCTGTATGTGGACCACCCGCTGTTCATGCGGTCCTTGCCCCAGCTCAATGCTCGACGCAGCGTTTCCATGGGCCACAGAGGGGGCTCCTCCATCTGCGGTCCTGCTACTGCGTGTGAGCAGCTGACCTCCAGCTGGAGTGACTGCTGAGGCGCTTTTGGCTGAGCGCATGATAAGGGGACAGCGCTCAGCAGGGACAAGTGCGAGCTTTCCTGCTTACGGGACCCTGCGGGCCGGACTGCTTCCCCGGGCTGGCCCACGTCCACCTCTGCGAACGCCGTTGCTGCCTCAGGCTGCAATAGCAGCTGGGTGCCTACGTCCCAGCTCGCTGCGTGGATCAGCCGGCTGATGTATGCGGGGTCCTTGACTGGTGACCTGCTTTCGCCTGTGCTGTTCCTGCAATCCCCCTGCATTGTGAGCCTTTTGCACGCTATGCTGGGTAAACTGGCAGGCCCCTGCATCCATAATGGCGGGAGCACACCTGCACTCGCACTTTTGAGGAGAGAACGTGGCTTGGGCATGCTGACTCGTGACCCGAATGTGGTAAGCGGGCAAGACAAAGCCAGGGGGCTCCAGCTGGAAGTGAAGGGCACAGACTGCCCATCCTGTGCCGCCTGCCTTTCTGACTTCTCTGAATCCAGAACCACGCTAGACACGAGTTTAGGCAGCCCACTTGCAAGCTCCATTCCTTCCCTGCTTTTCAGTTGCAACGTGGCTCTCTCCCTGCTCGGATGTGGCTGCCTCCTGCATTTCCAACCATCCACTCACAGGGGGTTCAGAGGCCACCCTTCAAGAAAGGCCCTACTCTTCAGGATCTCAAAAGATATTGCAGCGCTTTACTCTGGAAAAGTAGATTGAAGGCAAAGGTGACAGTATATCCAGATTGCATTGGCAAAAAGTGCTTGAAGAAGAGTATGATCCTGAGGTAGTGCGTGTATCCTTTCTAGCTTGGGCAGCTGAAAAAGTGGGGTATCAGCCGACGGGCTTCACTTTATCCCAATGATTCTTCTACGGTCTACCACGTGGCGTGATCAATCAATTCAATTTTTAAAGTCCCGTAAGGAGCCATGGGTGGGTGATAAAAGCGGCCATACAACTCTGAACCCGGTTGACGCTGATGACTGCGATTGTGACCCAAGTCATCCAACGTCTCAAAAACCCACAGTTATAACTTGGGTCATCTAATGGCTCAAGTTGACTGTAATCGGGACCCAAGTCATCGAACGTCCTAGAATCATTATAGTTATAAGTTGCATCCAATACAATCGAGGTCAGCTTCATGGATACGATGAGGCAAGTTGTGGGAAATTGAGTTAAAACAAGGGTTAAGTTGGGAGGAATTGTGGGTTTCAATGGCGTCTTTTCCTTTTCCGAGGAGAAAGCCTCACTGATCCGGAGTCGCTTCTGTCCTCCCACGCACAACACTTCGAAAAGTTCGGCCACGCCGCCAAGTCAGTATCTTAATTAACGGTTCATATAGCTCGAAATGGATCTTGTCGGATTGTTTAGATATGTCTCGGTCCTTGCGAAGCCACGTGTTACAATTTGGATCACTGCTTTAGTAAACCCATATGAAAAGTACTCGGTACAACTAATAACACGACACATTAAAACTTGCGGCCAAGTACGGTATAAGAGAAACATAGGTACAGGGCAAAAAGGGTCAATGGGAATCTCCTTTCACATGCAAGGGGGCGGTTTTGTGGAGCTGGTGACTGGAAATCAGATTTGGTGGGACCGAACGGAGATCTTCAGATTGAAAATGGCAAAAAGGTCGTCAGAGAATCCGTAACATCACGATGCGCGGTGATGCAGGCGCCATGTGTCATCCTTCTAGCGTGGGTAGCTTCACTAATCTTACCATGGACAGCAATCAGCGGACCGAATTTTGATTGTCAAATTTATACTACTAAAAGCATCCACTCTCGCAGTGCAAGTGTCAACGGAAGATTCTCAATACCTTAGCACTTCATTCTGTTCAACACGCCAGGAGCCTTCTGAATGCCATCTGCAAAACTGGCATTCCACAAGAGAGAAGGGTCGGGGTCATGGAGTCCTCCGCCTGTGCGGGGGCTCCGCCATCCCAAAATGGACCCCGACCAGCCAAGAATGACGAGAAGCTCGCCGAATGGAGCTCTCAATCTTGTGTCAAAAATCGAGCAGGAGATGGATTACAGAGAGCTTGCGACGCGCCTGACTGTTAGTAAGAGGAGGGTGCTTGAGGCTGCCGTCAAGCAGCTGTTCAATCCCAAGATTGAGGAGGACTGTGGTGTGTGCTGCATGGTATTCTGTGTCCAGTTTGAGGATGGGACGCAGTTGGCAGGATGCTCCGGCAACTACCAGGAGGAGCTGCAGAAGACCAGAGACGATGTGGCCCGTGTCGCTCAAAAGGAAGGGCAAATGTGAGAATGCAGTTATATTTCTGTTGATCAGAATGGGCCTGTCCACCAATGAGACCAAGGGGCATTTGCTCCTTTGAGGTTCCATTCTTGCTCATAGACCATCTCTACATAGTGCAAGCCTATCTCGCACCCTTCTTGTATCAAAACACGGTTGTTCTGAAAGCAGCAGAATTAAGGCTTCGGGATGTTGTCATGGCTGAAAAATCATCCCAGTTTGATGTGGTGTGTGAGAGTAGTTGCTTGGAGAATCGAATGTAGATCTAAGAACCACCTTGGTCTGTTGCAATATTTGTGTCTGCTAAGTACACAGTGGAAACTGCTCCGTCTACTATCTTGATGCAAAGCCCGAGTTACTCGGGCTTTGCATACATCGTGCTCGTGTCCCTCAGGAATCTGTTCTTTTACAAGCGTGCCAGTGCACCTGTGTTCACTTGCAACCATAGGGTTCCTCTTGAATCAGAAGGTTATGAGGAGCTCTCTGCTTAAAGGATTCTTGCCTATTCACCTTTAATGTCCTTACCTCATTGCATACAAGTTGTTGACTCTTTTACCCCATCCTCAGGTCCATCGAGATTGTTGATCGGAAGGGGAGCCCCAAGCCTTGTGCTGAGCTATTCGGAAGGAGCAATGCCACTGGAAAGAGCAAGAGCAGATTCCGGGAGCTTCATCCCCTGGTTGCTCGCCTGATCGCCAAGGTGACCAACGGCAATGCCCCCAGGTCCAAATCAAAGGTAAGGGATGGTCCATACTAGTTCTTTGCTTCCAATCTTGTTCTTCGGCCCTGTGCTTCAGGTGTGAAATGTATGTTGGCTTGCATTTGACTTTTCGCTCAGAACAATCCTGGTGTTTGACGAATTTGCCTTGAGAATATAGAAGCTGGGACTGGTCCTTGATGCATGCAAGCATCAATTAGCCTCAGAATTGGCGGGCCACCTTTATAGTGTCTCGAGCATTCATTTGCTTTAAGTCCATGAGAATGTCTTTAAGCTGAAGTTGCTGCTCCATCCATGTTGTGGGGTTAGTGACTTAGTCAGCTCCGGTGCCTGGCATATGCTCAAGGTTCAGTGCTCTGAATACTGGGCTTTTTGAGAAGACCCCCACCATCTACTGAAACCTGAGTTCTATTGTATGTAATTTACTCCGGTCCTTTCAATCAAGCTGTTGTCTTCAAAGTCACTCCCTGGTATTGGTTCTTTGCGACAAACTGGATTCATCTTCCATGCATTGATTGTCCCCTACTATGGTTTGCTTGGACTTTCTCAAAGGCTCCAGTTGTCCTCTACTCAGCTCCAGCTTTTTCGTAGTCCCCTTTGCATATGCCCACTTCGCCCTGCAGTTACAACCCAAAAATGCAGATTGTTTTCCTACCTTTCGCAAAGTGCATTCAAATTTCACCCTTCCATGTGTGCATGCGAGCAGATACCGTCCCAACTGTCTGTATGACGTACCCTCAAAACCTCGCAAGCTTTCAGTGGACCGTTCTCAAACTGCATACCGAGTGTCTTTCTGGCTTGTGTCCCCGTGCAAAAGTGCATCCACTTTGTACCTTTGCCGACACTTTATTTTTTTCCAACCCTCAGGATTTCACACTTTATTTTTTTCCAACCCTCAGGATTTCGCAGTTCAAAACCATTAGGTAAGGCTTGTTTAAAACCATTGGGAAACCAAGCCTTGACCCTTCTACAAACCTCCTTTGCAGGAGCCTGCCTGGTGGCCCAAGGAGCTGTCTGGCATGTACGCTTCCCGAACCAAGGAATTCGGCATCGACGGTTGCGTCGCCGTCCTCGACAGCCTCTTTGCGAAGGTCCGGCACTCGCTCCTCGAGATCCGCTACCTGCGCTCAAGCCTCGACTGCGACCTCCTTGCCACACTGACCCCATGCACGCGCGCGACGCTCGGGGCCTACTTTAACTGGCTGGAAGCGGACGCTGAGGAGCCCGGTTTCGTAAACCCTCCCCCAGGAAACAATGCCCGCCGGTCTGGGCCGGGGGGGAAGCGCAAGAGGGAGCTGCAGCCCCCTGCGCCACTTGAGCTGCCTGCCGCGCACCGCATTTTTCAGCCTGGGGGGGTGGAGGTTTGCTCCCCGGCAGGGGGGGGACTTCATGCCAGGAAGTTTAGCGAGGGGCTGCCGACAGAGGATGACATGCAGGCGGTGCTCGAGGAGCTGACGAAGCTTGAGGGGAGTTGCGTGCAGCAGGAGAATCTGCCCTCCCTCCCCGGTCCGTTCGGTAGCACGGGCTCGCTGGCCGCGGCCCTCGCGCGGTCCAACTCTTTTCAGCGGGCGGCGATGCTGAGCAGCGTGGGGCGCTCAAACTCGTTCACCGCAGCGGCGGCAGCCGCAGCACTGGTCCGCATCGATGCGAGCATGCCCCTGCTCCCCTTGGGGCAGAACAAGAGCAACGTGAATCCCTCTGAGGGGGACGGCTTGAGCCCCAGGAGCATTGACGTCACTGCGGCCCTGAGTGGCGACACCGCGCCGGTTCAGAGGTGGGGGGTGGAGGAGCCGATTGACTTTGCGGGGAGGATGCTTCTGGGCTGGTGACAACCTTGTTGCCAGCGGGGGGTTTGACGGTCAGGACATGAATCAGGTCGAGGCGGCCAAGTATATGGAGGATGTGTGGATGCAGTCGGCCATGGATGTTCTACGACCACTAGAGATGGCGCCATAAAAGGGTTTGGAAAGTGCAATGTATTACAAGGCATCTGTTTGTAAGATGGGGATTACGACGCTGTTTTGGGAGGAGCATTGTGTCTTACGAGTACGATAGGCCCGCTCGTCCCTGTTTGTTTTGCTAGTCGGCGACAATCAGGTCCCAAGTAGCGCCTCCAGCAGGGGCCTACTATTCAGAGTAAAGAGTAAAACGACCTCTCGAGGAAGCACATGAATCGCCCTTCCTGCAAACTTGGGGTGGCAACTCTGGAGGACTTGGGCGAATAGTAATTTGTGGATTTTTCTGCGTCTACATCAAAAGATTTCCGTCACCGAATAGAAAATGAACTTCTTCCCTGGTGAAACATATGATGCTTTCAGTTGGTATTTGAAGGGCTCCATCTTGTATGCAGATGTTTTGGTACACAGTAACATCCGTGAAGCTGAGTACACTTTAGACAAATTAAACCATGTAGGATACATAGCGGTGGCCAAAACGGACAGAAAATACCGGAACAACAATCCACACAAAGCATTCAGACGCACATTTAAAGCACTCGAGGAAAGGGTGATTGCTGTTTCTTTGGACGTTGTACGCACCAGGACGGGTGCTGAGCTGGTGTTGAGGAATATGGACAAATACTTTAGCAATAACATCGACCGTTACAAGACACAGAAACATTTATTGGCTTCGCTTCCTCACAGCAGATAATTTGCCTGGTAGATTCTGGGCACACCGGTCCTTTCCAAAATCCCCTCATGGACACATGGATCGTCAGCAAACGCTTACAAGGGCTCGATATCTCATGCAAAAGGTTTGACAGATAAGTGGTATCGCTTATATGGATGACTTGCTCTTCCATCCCTCTGATGAAATCTCGATATTGTTGACAATTTCTGGTCAAACGCAGTCACTTGCGTTCAAATATGATAGCTATAGGACGTCCGGGCCTACCACCTACTCGAGATGAAATAGAGCTATTTCAATTGAAGACGGCCCAAACTTCCGTGAGCTGCGCGCACTTTGGGACATCCACGCACTTCGGACAGCCCGGTTTCTAAATGGTCCGTACGTCCCATGATCAGCGCGCACAGACGGACACTTACGCACTTCGGACCAGCCCCGACTCTCAACCGTCCGACGGCGTTTCGCAAAATTAATGCAGAAGCGCCGGGTGAATACGACTGCTTCGGGTCATCGCGAAACTCCGCGTTCTGCGCGCGTACACTCGGACACCCTCGCACTTCGGCCAGCCCGGGCTCACAACCGTCCGATTTTGCTCGGCTCGGGCTCGGCTCGGCTCGGATTTTGAGTCAAATTCGATCAAAATTGTGATCGCGCCACGGCCACCGTCGATACTGCCACGCTGCTGCCACCGTGGACGTTTTGTAGCAACAAAACTAAGCCCCGAGCTCCACATGCTAAATAGATTTGGACCCTGTATTGCTAATGCAAGAATAATGTATTTGTGTCACGTCATGCTCAGCGTATGGTATGGTTTACGTACGATATCGTACGGCCAGGGTTGTTCGCTGACATGATCACCTTCAATGCAGCATGTGCTTGTCACACGTGGCTTACATTGTGTCATGTTTGACTCCAAACCCTATCCATTTATCTGGCCGTGTGTCAACAACGTATTCTGACATTGAGTTGGCTTGGCCAACGCACTGTTTTTGATTGTACGCATTAGTTGGTCATAAGCCCCACAAGAATACACATGATTTCAATCTAGGGTAAAATTCTGATGCTCCGCAAGGTGACTTGTGTTTACTTATTCCCACATGCACAAGTTTAATGTGGAAACCTTCAGCTGACAGATCTTGCATGCGCATAAAGGACCGTCAGTATAGCCGCATGCATTCGCTTGGTGCACCTTTGCTTTCAGTTTGAGAGGTTTGTAAGACGGTGATCATGCGGGACCAAGAGAAGACCTAAGGTTGCCCCCTGTGAACTGTGAAATTTAGCCTCAATGGCGGAGATTGTGCAGTGAGCATCGGTTGAATGACTCGAGAATCAGCAAGCTGTAGACACCTGCTTGCGTATTCATTAACATTTGGGCAGGTTTGGGGAAAAGTCCGACCCACATGCAAGGTCTCCTGAAGGAATGCACGGCGCCTGTTCGCTCAGGACCAAAATCGCGAGACCTTGTGGGGAAGGTTTCCATAGGCAAAGTTCATAAGGTTGGGCCTAAGCAGCTTGTGGGGACCAAACCGTTGGTGAAAGTCATCGAGAAAATAAACCCAAAAAAGGATTACTTCACATCCCCCAGCTCAAAAACGGGTACAGCTGAGAAATGATGAGAAGCTTGAGGAGACCAATATCGTTTCTTCCTGACGAACATAAAGAAACGCCCAGCTCATTCTCCTTTGAACTTTCATCCGCGCTTTTTGATTCAGGTACTGCAGTTTAATCTTCATGACAGTTGGTATTAGGTGCCACATACAGCAATATTACCAATTGTTTACAGCAGGTACTGCGTGCAAGTGTATCTGACTTGACTCTTATCTAGCTGTTGCAAGGAGCCAGACATCCGGCATCCTGCATTGTGTTGATCAGGCAGCAAATCGATTCAGCCACTTGCTGCGCCGTCAAGATGCAATTGGATGCGGCAGGGGCAGCTGGAGACAAACCTTGTGCTGGAGTCGCCCTAAGGGATCTTGTTTGGAAAAATTGAGGTATTGTTCCAAACTATTTTGTCGCTGAAGTCTTCTGAAGTTGCTGTGTATCAGACTTGCCCTGCTTTCAGTGCGGGCTCGAATTCCGTCAAGCGTTTCTGCAGTTGCCCAAAAGCTGGGTATAGTGCTTCTTCCAGATTACTCCATCTGTCAGAGATCTATGAATCTTGCAAATGTACAGTCAGGAATATCAGAGCAAGGTGGCAATTTTCTGCCAAAACTCAAAGGGATTTGAGTAAACCTGAGCTGTGTGTTAGTGGGCCTGTAATTATACCGAACTACTTGAGCTCACATGGAAAATCAATATGTCATTTCTTTGAATATCCGCAGTAGTACACGCATCAAAAAGTCTATACGTATCTTTAAAACGTGTTGATATCCATTTAGTGCCTCATTATTCGGCCGTATTGGAGACGTGATGGGAGCAATCCAGGACTAATGCAATCAAGTATTTCTTGCAGTAACTATGCCAACATAAAGAGCCAGGACTATGTTCGACTTCGATTTTCCACAAAGTGTGCGCGATCGAAAACTTCCATTGGCCATGGACACCCAAACTTGCTGTGCTTGACGTTGTTTCGATATAAAGGGATGAAACTCGGAGAAAGGAATCTCAAGGACCTGCAGCAGACTTATTTATCAAGCAGGTAGCCTGCTCGACGTTTGTGTAGCGGCGTGTAATGGACGGATGTAGTAGGAATGCATCATGTGGCTCCCGCTTGTACATACGTATTGCGTAAAATACAAGTTATCCAACGAATTGTTTTCAATCACGCACATAAGCGTCATTGACTTCTTTAGGGGTGCAAAGCATGATTATCGTCAAAAAGGTAAAGCTCAAACGAGTCGAGCGATTGCGTTCTTCGATTTCCTAGTAAAATCACAAAGTAGCAATGAGACGGGTAGTCGTTCTTGCTCAGAGACAATATTACCCTCCTAAAACCCCAAGACGACAACGTCTGGAGCTTTTTGAGGAGTCGTGGTCCTTCCTAGTATACACCGATGGAAGGAGCCATATCGAGGTTCATCATCACGCTCTTGTCTTGCGTCCCCATGTTGCTCTTGTCATGTAATGTCTGAAAATATATACTATGAGCCGCACGAGCGCCAACCGGTGTTTCCTTTGAACTGTCGCTATCACAGCATGCAACAACACGAATTCTAATAATGTTGTCTTGTCTCGTCCAAACTGGCCGCTTATTGTCGGGCAATGGCGAGATTCTGACGAGATATAGCAACACTCGGGTTCTCTGGCCCCAGCACTTTTTGCCCGATACGCAGAGCGCGCTCGAAACGTGGCAGGGCCTTCGCGAACTCGCCCCTGTTCGGCAGCAGACCCGCCATGTTGTTCAGCGACGTCACCAGGTCCGGGTGACCCGGGCCTCAGCGCCTTCTCCCCGATTCGGAGGGCGCGCACGTACAGCGACATCGCCTTTGCAGACTTACCCTGGTTTTCTAGCAACCCCGACATGTCGTTCAGCGATGATGCGACATGCGGGTGCTCCGGCCCTAGCGCCCCCTCCCTGACGCGCAGGGCGCGCTCAAAAAGCGGCAGCGGCTTCGCGTACTCGCCCTGCTTCTCCAGCAGGCCCGCCGTGTGGTTCAGCGTGGTCACCAAATCCGGGTGCTCCGCCCCCTGCCCCGATGCGCAGGGCGCGCTCGTACAGCGGCAGCACATTCGCGCACAGGCCCTGGCTGGCCAGCAGGATCGCCATGTTGTTGAGCGACGCCGCCACGTCCGGGTGCTCCGGGCCCAGCGGCATTTTGATGTCGGTACCACAATGCGAGGCTCATTGGAGCTCACGCCGCGTGCCCTCGTTGCCCCTCGTCGGCGGCCGTCGCATACAGCCCGGCGGCGCGCGCCTCGTCCTTCTCCACGCCCTTGCCGTGCTCGTAGCACACGCCCAGGTTGCACTGCGCCCTCGCGAGGCCCTGCTCGGCGGCCTGCGCGTACAGCCCGGCAGCGCGCACCTCGTCCTTCTCCACGCCCCTGCCGTGCTGGTAGCACCAGCCCAGGTTGCACTGCGGCGTCGCATAGCCCCGCTCGGCGGCCTTCGCGTACAGCTCGGCTGCGCGCGCCTAGTCCTTCTCCACGCCCCTGCCGTGCTCGAAGCACCCGCCTAGGTTGCAATGCCCCCTCACGTAGCCCTGGTCGGCGGCCTTGCTGTACAGCTCGGCGGCCCGCGCCCCTAGCAGCTCCATCAATCCTTCGGGAACTTGGGAGTAGCTGCGCTCCGGCTGCATCATGCGGTGCAGCTCATGGAATTTGCCTTCCATGTCATCAGTACCCCAACCTCCGGTGCCTCCCAATCAAGCGCCCTCAAGCGATGTAGAAGCGCTTTCCATGCCTCGTAAATGTTGTGAGAGCTGGTGGGTTCGGTGGGAAGCACTTGACAAAGTAGTTACTCATACCATAACATCGTGCCGCAGTTTTGCAAAAGATCCAATTCCCTTCGGGGAGCGAAGAGCCTCTCTCCGAAGGAGATTGGAGCGAAGCAGGGAAGGTGCGCATGCAAGTTTAAATTAAAGAGTGGCCATCTCATTTGGCTTCCTTGCTAGGTTAGATTATAAAAGATGAGGTGTAAAGTCATGGTGAGCTATACATTGTGCTTTCCTTAAACAGTTCTTTATGGGTGGTAACATTTGAAAGACCGGCTGCGTGACATCTCATTGATGCTGATTTGTCAAGTATCATTTCAAGCCGTCCGATCCTTTTAAACCGTGCACGTTTCTTTGGCTTTACAAATCTCAGAAAACGATCCAGTCCGTAGTGCGAGAAAACTCGAGAGGGATGTTCAAAGAAAACACATCTAGCTCAGATGGTTTCGGCGCCGCCGACGAAATGTGGATTAATGACGCACTCTTGTACATGCATGTGCTAACCGCCGGAGCAGATATTAGTGATAAAAACACAATTTCGGCTAACCTTTATTCCGCCAATGGCACCCGGATCGGCAATTACACCTATGACCTGGCCGGCAAGTCAACATACATCGTGGGAAGCGGTTAGTCAGTCACGAATGCCACTGTTCATGGTGCCGTCTATGGCTTCACGACGACATCCGCAACTGGTAAGGTAAGCATGCCCCCCCCCCGGTCTTCAGAGTTGTCTTTGATGCTTCCAGATACTGGCAAGAGTGGAGGGCAACTTTGCTTTCATTGAGAGCTTCTTACACTGGCTATATTCACCAGCACACTGCGTGCATGCAAGAAAAGTTGGGGTGTGTACAGTAGCCAAAAGGGTACAGGCTTAGAAACGCTCCTCGTTTCTCTCGTGCTATCAGCTCTACCGTAATTCTTGTTTGTTGTCGGCATGAGCATCGTCTAGTTTGATTGTGGTTGAGTCCCATCTTGTTGAGCTGGTCAAAGACATGCCGGATTGAAGATAATGGAGGTATATACAGTCTACTACCTTTTTAGGGATGGAAGCAGCCAACCTGTACATCCATAACGATCGAATCTGCCCTTTCCGACCTCCAGCCCTTGTCCTAGAACGTGGTCTCGGCTTATTGGAAACATATTGGCAGAAAGGGAGTATGCTTTTGACTACTAAGGCAAGCTTCACGCTCCTTCATGCAGGTTGTTATGTTTCAGTTGGCGACGAGTGGGAAGCATCAAACGGGCTTATTCGGGTCAACAACGCCTAAGTCACTTATTTTATGGGTGGTAGCATCCAGTGGGCATCGTGATGTGTTGCAGGAAATGGTTTTGTGGTTGCTAAAAACATGAATACAGCCCGATGATTCAGAAGTTTTTTAACGCAAATTTTTTAACCCTACAAGGGATTGAGGCCGGTCAGTGATGGTTTATAAATTTCAAAATTTAGCCAACTCCCAAAAAGACATGTTTGAGGTGCAAGTACCTCAAAAGGTGATGTGACGTGGTCGGCACAAAAATGTCTGTAAAATGCTATGACTTTTGCCGAATGGCTTTATTTTTGCCCCATCTGTGGGTTGCCCCCATGCGGTAATGCTGTAGTCCTGGCAACTTCAAATGGATTGGAGTCACTTTGAATTGTGATTTGTAAGCACAAAGGTTTGTTTGTGTTGCCCCCACGGCTTTTGTTGAAAAAGCCGTTCCCGACAGCCGGTGGCCCTCGTACAAAATGGAAGGAAAGCTTATGGAGTTTTGTGGGGGCCCAAAAGCTTTGCAAATATAAATCTTAGGAGTCGCTTGTCAGCCCCAATTCATTGGTAACGAACCTATTTATCGAGCACGCGAGTTTTGCCCATCAAAAAGTGAAGCATGCAAAAAAGAAAAAAATGCATGGAGTGGGGCTCGAACCCGCGACCTCGCGCTAGGCGCTCAGCTCGGCCACGGACTTGGGCGAAGGCAAAGGGTTGAAAGGCACAACACTGGCACAAATGCTGGCGCATCGGTGGCTATTTAATCTTATATAGAGTTCTCCTCAAATTTGTTGGGTTTGAGAATACAACTGAAGTTCATGTTAACCGTAACCCGGCCGGCCGGTCAAATTGCCACGTCATCCGGATTAGGTTACGAAAGTTGTGAATCGGAGTGTATAGATAAGCGCTTTCAGGGTCGATCACTTACCATAGACTTCGATTGGATCGAAGGGTGCATTTTAGGAGTCCTTCGTCATGATGACTTTTACTCTTGCTCATATCTATTGCAAGCAGATTGTCATTACCGAGGACCGCGATTGGAAGCAACGCTGACCTCCAAAAGGTATAATGAAGTGGGCGTTCCTTTGCAAAATCTTCCAGTTCAGGTACGAAACAAGGATATCAACCAGCTTGTTTTGAGTGCAAAGGGAATGCGGAAAGCAATCTGGTCCAAAATTACTGATTTGAACACTACATTATATTACATTATTATCAATACTACATTAGATTTGAACAGTGCGTTTATACTTTACATTAATTACTGTAATTACAATACTTATTACATTTGAACACTCTCACTACACCCTAAAGTGTAACACCCTAAACCTTCCCCACACCTCGGAAATAGCCCGGTCGCCACACCAGACCATTAACATCCATCCTGATAGCCGACGGTGAGTCAGCTTCCGACATCATGACTTGTACAAGCAAGACGCAAGACGCAAGGGGTGCCTTCACGCAAGGCCCCCGTTTTAAATGACCAATATTAAATATTAATCAATTGTTGACTTCAATCCAGGTAAGATGTTTGGTAAGACCCCCCATATAAACGACCAGGATCAAATGTTAATTCATTTGTTGACTTCAATCCAGGTAAGACTGCTGGTAAGACCCCCTATACTTACCCACTGCCCCGTTAGCAGACATCGTTCCAACCCCAAAGCCCCCTCCATTCGACGAGGGGTTCCAACCCCAAAGCCCCTCCCGGCGCTCCTCCACACCCAACCCGACTTCAAACCGCTTTGGCATTGCCTCCGAGGCCCCTTTCCCCGAGAAGCCGCCAAGTCCCCCCGAAACGAAACCGTCCCTCTCGACAGGGTGCGAGAAGCTTCAATCCGCACTGCTGAGGCTGCTCATCCGGCGATATTCCCCCTGCTGGGGGCGCGCGTCAATTCCCGTCACCGAGCTGCCGTACTTCCGGCAAACCTGCTGACAACACCGTGGCCCCTAGTGGCCTCAGCAAAGGCCCTGCTGACTTCACCCCCGGCGAAGCTCTGGTTCGCGCGGGCGATGTCGCGGAAACCCTGGTGGTCCATCCCGTAGTGGGGGTGTCCGCTGCGGCCGGCCTCGCGTCCCCTGAACAGGAACACCCCGCTCCCGCCACGATCTACACTGAGCGTCCGCAGCGTCTCCTCGCGCATCGACATCAGCCCTCCGACACGCGCGTCCTCGTAGCGGGGGTGCGGCATCGCCTGGGGCGCGTACCCCCCCGGGGCAGCGAAGTTCCCATCTTGGGGGAGGCACGTGCGGCACCGTGGGGGCTGTCCGTTGACGACCGGTTTGAAGGGAACGGTGCTCTCCCGACCGCAGATCGAACACGGCCCACGGTAAAGGGGCTTCCCGAGGCGCGTGTCAATTCCGGTGTACTTCCAGTCGGGGCGACAGGGGAGACCGTTGGAAGGCCCCGACCCGTTGCGCGACATATAGCTCTGCTTGTCCTTGTGGCGCTGCACGTAGACACCCTCGCCATCTGCAAGAAACGACCGGTTCAGGTTGAGACTCCAGAAAAAGAAGCAGACTCCCTAGTCTTGAATATTAGCGCACTGACGTTCATCCGGACTCGATGTCCAAACGAGGGCAAGCTGACAGTCAAGATCCGGTCTGTAAGTAAAGTGCAACTACCCCTCCGAAAAGTCTGCAGTATATTTCAGAAAATATGTGAATAAAACAGGAATAAGTATCGACGAAAACAAACACCAACCGAGTCAACCTTCAGTTTCTTTGTTTCTGAAAGAGCAGATGAAAGCAAACAGTAGGTAGAAAAGTAGCAGCAGCAAAGAAGGGAACTTCCAAAGAGGGCTTGCAAACCGAATCCGTTCCCAAACGGCAAGGACTTTGGCGCAATTTCTCATCAATCGAAGAGCAAGAGGAAAGCCAGAAGAACCAGGAAGAAGAGGAGAACGAAGACGGAAAGCGGGGCACCTTACCAAAGAAGTCGGTGAGTCGGATCTGCTCCCCAGCCACCAACCTCTGGCGCACTTCCTCGTTGGTCCAGTAGCTGAACTCCACGATCGCGAACCACTTGCGGGGGTGGTTCTTGTTCTCGCGCACCAGCGTCTTGGAAACGGCGCCGTAGCAAGAGAAGAACCGTTTTGCATACTGTGCAGCGTTGCTGCAAGGAGATGGAGACCGCGAATCAGAATCATGATTATTTCGGAACTAAGAGTTTACTTTCCCGCAACAAAGGTGAAGACCACTCAGAAGGAGATTTCAAGAGAAGGCTTAAGGACCTTAAGTGCGAGAGTGGAACAGAACTTACGTCTCCAAGAACCAAAGGGGCAAGTCGCTACTTTCACCGGGCAGCACCGAAAGAATCCAACGGAAACGAAAACATGACTCGATTCCCTGAACACATATTGGCGTTTCCGCAAACCCTAGGTACGCAGTCACTTTCCAGTGCCTGGTCATTTCACATTCTTCAAAAACAGACTATAGGAAAACACTCCGACCGATTCGATTCAATTCCATCCGCTTAGGTTCGAACAGATGACCGACTACTCGAGTCCTGACCCGGTCGACTCGCTGGGAGCATAGCGGGGTGGTAATTCATACTGGAAGCCCGGCCGATCAAAGAAGCAAGAACGCTTGGACAAGCAACACATTTACTGGGTATATGACATCCCCTGCCAATTTTTCAAACCGGAAGAGCACGTCGATTAGTAGATTCCGACCGATCGGATTGCCCGGGAAGGTTAAGATAGAAAAAGTCAAGGAAGCTTGTACATGCGAGTCACTGGGCGATTGGCGTTCCTCCACAGGACCCAGTAAAGTGGACCCAGAAGTCTGGCCGGTGAAGACGCCACGAGAATTTGAGACGAGCGACTCAGTCCTCAATTCGTGGCCGGTTCAGAGGAACTACTCACAACTCGAACCGTGGCCGGTTCGAATCCCCCAAGAGGAACGTCGCCACGAACTTCGCCGGCAGCTGATTGATATTCAATTTGGGGCACAGGTCGTCCTGCGGCGAAAACTCGACGAAGATGGAATCGCCCTTGTCCGAGCGATGATCCAGAGCCTCGGGATAGAACCCCGGGTTGCGAGCCCAGGGGTCGTAGGCTGCGGCGCGCCCGGGGGGCTTGGCCGGTAGGGACAGCTGCTGGGACCGGTAGAACTGCGAAGCAAAATCAAGATTCGTTAGAGCACCTTGAGATACAAGTCGGATATAGCTCCCGCTATCATAGCGCTGTCCGAGTAGGTGTGTTACGATAAGAGTTAAGATGAAGGAAAAGATAGCAGAGATCCAGGACCCAAGCACGGGGGGCTTGACCGGTAAGGGACAGCTGCTGGATGCGGTAGAACTGGAAAAAAGGGACGAAACTGGCTGGTAAGATGTTAAAAACTGGAGAATCCGTTCCTACGACCTTCCTCTTACATGTTGAATGAGATGTGCGGTAAAAACTAAAAGGCCAGGGGTCGTGAACTGCAGGGCGGGTGGGGGCCTTGCCCGGTAGAAATAGCTGCTGGGAGCGGTAGAACTGCGAATAGGGAAGGAACTCGACAGGAAACACTCAAGCAATGGAAGTTTTCAAAATGTGTCGAATGGAGTCTACGGAAGGAAGTGGACCTCGCTGCAAATCGTGAAAGGTTGCGCAGTAGCTGCTGGGAGCATTGGGAAAGGAAAGAACTTTGTTGACCATTACTTTGTTGACCATTAAGTGCGCAGGATTGATGGAATCAATTCTGTCAGGGTTCAAAAAAGCCGCTCGTCGTAGAGACAGTTGATGGGTGCGGTAGAATTGCGGAACGACAAGAAAGATGTTGATTGTACTATCCGCTTATGGAATCTGCTAAATCAGAGGAAGGTTGGCAGACGAAGTCCTGACCTACGTAAGTAAAGTTCTGCTCGTTTTAGGTGGCTCAACAGCCCCCTTCAACCCCAGTTTGGAGATTTCACGAGTCCTTGAAAAGAAATAACAAACACGTCTGTTTTTACATCGCCTCCCCAGCAATTTAAGCGCTCGACACCTCCCCGCAAGGGCAAACCCAATGAATCAGAAGAAACGACCTCACCTCCAAATGCAGGGCGGTGTCCCCGTCCATCTCGGTCCGACGCTCTTGCTCGAACGCCATACTCAGCCGAGAGCCCTCCTTCTGCTTGGGAAGTGACCCGTCGGGAGCCCTCGAGAACGCTGTCATAATATGACCACCATTGCTGAGCTCAACATCGCGGGGCACGTTCAGCCCGTCGCGAGACACGTTCACACCATCGCGGGGCATGTTGGCGCCGTTGCGGGGGCCGTTCACACCATCCCGGGGGACATTCACAACTTCGCGGGGCACAATCACACCCTCGCGGGGTGCGCTCAGAGCCTCGCGCACCGCGCAATCGTTCCGGAATCCGCCGTACATGCGCATGAAACTAAGCCCCTCGGACCGTCTGAATACGTCCATTGCGGACTTGGCCCCCGACACCTTCGCGCTCGCGGGGGACCCCCCCGAGAATCCGCTCGAGAACGAGCAAGCCGCGAGCGCCGCTCTGGTCACCTGCGGCTCCTGGGGGATATTCACATCGCTGCGGGGCCGGTTGTTCGCGAACCGGAGAGGCGCCATGTCGCGGTACATCTGCTCCGCCCTAGCCTCCTGGCGTGATGACACCATGGAATCTTCCGGATGGGAATACGCCCTGTGCTCGTCGAGAAGGGGCAAGGGGCGGAGCGGCGAAAGGCTTTGCACCGATTCGCTACTGGGTCCGGAACCGAACATGGTGGGCGGGAATGTCACTCCCGGACTAGAGGTACCAGTAAACCAGACGTCGCTGTTCCCCCGGCTGCCCGGATGACCCTTATCCCCATCTCCCGGATTCGGCGGGTTTACCGAGTCGGGGGGGTCGATGTGAAGCCCGGACAAAGTCGAGATCAGCTTCGGGGGGAATGCGACGCCATTCCGAGGGTCTTTTATTGGAAGACGTCCGTTACCACCAGCGAGGAATTCGCGGCCAGGGAATTGCTCCAGAGGGAGGCAAACCGAGGCACGCGCGGAGGATCCACGGCTGGTGCTGGGGATGAGGAGCGGGCGGCCGAATCGGCGGACGGAAGGGGCGTCAAGTGTCGCGGGATGAGCGTTGAATCACTGCAAACAACAAGAAAAAGGATGACTGTTATAGTGATGGCTGACAAGACTGTTGCCAGAAACGGCTTAAACAAGATTCAATATGACGGACCGCGTAGATCGTATGGCCGACTGGAGACCGTGGAGCACTACAAATGATAAGTGAGAACGGGCAAAAGTAAGTACGGTTGGCTTGCTCTTCCTTCCCGAAGAAAGAGGTTTGCAATATCATGATACCAGCTTTCGAGGCCGGACAAAGAAGGAGAATTGCCCCTTGTCAGGACCAATTAGTAGCGGAAATGTGAGCAACTAGAGACCAAGCAGCTTGTCAAAAAGAAATAGCGCAGCTACGAACCGAACTCGCCTACTTATAAGAGCGAAAGTGTGCAAACATTCCGTCGATTCTTTGATTTACCATCTCACCCTTGATATTTGTGGGCTTCTCTCGAAGGAATGATGCAAGGAACGTGGTTGTCCAAACAAAATCTGGTCAAGAATTACAGGCCGCGGTTGTTCCACGATGAGGGCCAACTTGCAGGTCCTAAGATGAATGTTTGGGTCTGGAACGTAAAGCCAGCAGTATCGAAGCATGTGCGGGAATGCGCACCAGTCACTGCAGCAGCGAAAACGAGGCAGCACTCTGCAAGGAATCGACCATAGTCTGCAACGAGACTATACAGTGCACCAGACCCGAGCCCGATACAAGCTTCAAACCGCGAATCATCTCAGGGTAAAAAGAACGGAAAAGCTAACGGTCTACCTCGTATCGCTCTTCTCGACGTCCAGCACGAGGGCTGCGGAAGTCTCCCCCTCAATCTCCGACGGCAACAACGCCTGTGGAGTAGAAGTTACGAGTCAGACGGATTTCACATGACGTGGCTTCCACACTGGCAGCGCTTTACACGACGAACCAAGACGGGAGCGAAGAACGAAACAAAACGATTACAAACCAGACGGCAAAGGAGTGGGAAGTTTTGTCCGAAAGCAGTTTAGGGTTGTGGTCCGAAGGAGCAGGGTCAAAACCGATATTTTTGAAAAAGCAGAGATGGTAGACATAAACAGGAAGCAGGAACGTTTGAACCAACCGCAGAACGTCTATAGCCTCGTATCGAAGAACTCAGATAAACGTGAGTCTTCCAGTCGCTCTGAAGAATCGAAGACTGGACTACACCTGGGCGACTAGGATTACGGATCTGAGGGCTACTGCAAAAATCTCAGGACTCAGGGTTTTGTGAGGCTGATCTGAGAAGCGCTGATCTGAGAAGGAAAGTGAACCTTTCGCGGCAACGATCAAGACGGCGCTCTCAAGTGGAAGGATCTGCACTGTCTACTAGAAGACAGCATCCAAAGCGTACTTGATTTTTGCCGGCGATTCCCTCGCGCACGAGCTGCGGCACCATCTGAAAGGGGTCAACCCGGGCCCTGTTCACACTCCTCTCGGCAGCGACAGGATCTTTCGTAGTGAGGTGTCTTGAACGGAGCGGGGAAGCCAGGCTCTTACGGAATCCAGGGACGTCTAAATCTGGACGAACAATGCCAATGATCGAGAAACCAGCGGTATGTATATTATAACCATGGTAAACGGTGACGGATTGGGGGGTCAAGAGAACAGAGCCTGAAATTCGAGGTCGAGCCTAGCAACCTTGGGGAGAACATGCACAAGGACAACGAGCAGGTTTTGTCTGATCGCTCTCGAAGTCAACTCAGGGGTCTACTAATTCGGATACACAAGCAGTAGCATCCTTTCACAAGCCCACGTACTTACAAGGAGAGAGTTTTGGGTCGTGGTCCAAGTTCAGACAAAACCGCATGATAGCGCGACAGTATTACTAATCACAAAGCAAACTTATCACAAGTATAGTGAGGTAACCTGTCAAAGAGAGAGGGCGCAGAGAATTGATGCACCAAGGGCACATAAAGGTGGCGAGAACGCACAAGAGGACCAAGTAAGTCAATAAGTCAACTTACTACATTTTCTATCCGTTGACTACAAGCTTGAGAGTACCGAAGTTAAATTGAGCACTCTTAGGGTTGCGCTCCGCCCTTGATCCAATGGAATAGAACAAATGCGTGAACATTTGCGGATTCGTCTTGGAACCTCATGACCCGCTTGGAGCGTAAAATTAACGGACAACAAGGATTTAAACCGTCAACCCTCCCTGCAGGCAATCAACTCTGTGAGGTACAACGCAGCAGCACTGTCCACAACTTGCTATTCGTGCAGCTTCGAAGGTGCAAATGACGTCTACAAGGTCGAAGAAAGTACCCAAGCGTGCAGAATTGTTGATCATTTGCCAACGTCAACACCGAGACGTTGCGAAAACAAGGTCTTTCCCCCGGCTTTCTTCCACACAAACCCCTAAGGTGGTCACAATCCGAGGCACGCTACACTGAAGTCCTCAAACAGGAAAGGGCTCGGATCTGACAACAGCAACCATCCCTAATGAACGAGAAGGTGGAAAAGAGATGCGCCCAATATCCGAGCTTTCTGCTACTACGTTCGAGCTACAAAGAAGACGGCATGGTCAACACAGAAACGCAAAGGTGGTGCTGAGACCTAAACCAACAATCCCCGAATCTACGCGATCTAGCTTCATGTCCCTTTTCACACGTAACAAGAAGAGAGATCGCTTGAAGGCTAACGTTTCGACCACGCGAAGCGCTTGGTAGAAATCAGTGCTTAACTCGCCCGTCACCCGGTCTTTCACCTGCTTGGGCAACACGTTTGCGACAATCATGCGGTCCTCTTGCCGGGAACCAATCTGCACGAAAGACAGGATAACAATCGTGTTGGCCCCTTGGAGACAGTTTTTCCAAGATGCTGCAGTGTAAGACATCTTCTCTCACTCATGGACCGGTTCTAAAGCAGTCAAAAAGTGCTTGCAAACCTCGGCGTGCATAGAGCTAGAAGGTGTCGCAATAACGTGGAAAATCAAAACCACCCTGCACCGAGAAACGGATTCTGCAATAACAAGACGGCGCGTCTGTTCATAGGTGGTTCTTAGCTGCTAAACAGACAATTGCGCCCAGGAAACAGCTTGCAGTCTTACCAGGCTCCCGCGGTACGAAAAGACGTAGTGCGCTGGAACTTCATCTGCGTGAAAGTCTTTGATACGGGCCCGGACATAGGTCAACTTGTCCGTCAGAAGTAGGTTTTCGATTGTGAAGGTGACGTTGCCGTCATAGTCGAAAACACCTAGCGCAGTATCGAGGCCCGCCGCTTCTGCAAAACACGTGCAGATCAGGCATCATTGCAGCTAGAGGAGAAGGTCACTCTTTCCACATAGAGCTACTGTCTTTCCTCCCTGTCCATACAGCTCTTCTCCTTTGCGGACAGCTCTTGGAGACAACTGCCATGAGTCGCGGTTTGTATGGACAGCTACCCTAACGCCATCAAGATGAGACCATCTGAGACTCCGAAAGCAGACATTCCTCAGCAGGGGCATTAGAATGCATAATACTGTTGCCGGCGTAATGCTTTGAACCCTCGCATACTAGTGTAACTCTGAAGCCTTAGTATTGAACGACCCTTGAGCAATTAACTCAAAGCAAGGGCAGTGGTTCTAAGCATACAGTCTTAAGCAATTGCACTTTTTAATTTGCATCACCTAGATTAACCTTGAATTTCTGCTTGGGCGAAGCATTGACAACAGGACAAGATGTATGGAGATGTGCACCATCACCCCCAGCATGTCCTTGACTGGAGATGATCAGGTGGGCTCACTGCTGTTAAGAAGCCCCCAAACGATCCTTTCCTTCGGCAAGGCAGCTCTTATCGATTAATTCCATCCCCCACCCCCGTCCTTTACCCCGTTCACTTCGCAACCACCCCCCGTCACAGCAGAGTTCCGGCGTGCTTGCGAGGTCCCCCAAGGGCCGTTCCCTGAAGCAAGCCGCTCTTGCAAGACAATTGCACTTTCCACCCCCCCAGATTGTTCGTCCTGCTCAAGTGGATTCATTTTCCCCACCACCTGAATAGCAAACAAGAAGTCACCCCAAGCAGGAACTTACCATCGTAGTTTTCGTCCTGTTTCGTATTTCTGATTGAAATACAGACATTTGAATTCAACAAGCAATTGGCGTGTATTTGATTGAGAACCTATTGAGGTCTTATCAAAGTGAAAAGAACAGTTGAGTGTTTTTCGCATTCAGAATTTATAAGCGAATAAAGGAGATAAGAATCAGGCGGAATGATGCTCATTTGCAGAATGATGGGTGGGAGGCTTCACACCATCCTGCAGCAAATCATTCCGTGTGTAGAACCAAGCAATGAGGAGCTCAATGCCGGTTTTTGCTTGACAAAACTCTAGGATGGTGCCAACAAAATCTCCTCCTTGACCCCACGCCTTGCGGTCGGCCGCCTCAGGTCTTATTGTTACTGCAGTCCCAACCTCCAGAAGAGTGCGACAACTGAGGAGCTTGGTCCGAGGATCCCTAGCACTGAGGACATGGTACAGAGAGCTCATGGCGGCGCTTTGGTTGAAATAGGTTGCTCTCCTCCTTGAGTCCTTCCTCCATGCAACTGGGAAGAGGGAGGAGGCCCAATTAAAAAGCAGCATGTGAGCAATGCAGTCTTAAACGCGGCACGTACTGGGGCGGCCAATTTGAATTTTGAATTGGCGGCATAAGAACTTGGTTAGAAGATTCAATTACTGCGATAACTAAGCACCTGTATGGTATCGCAGGCTCAACACAAGCCGAAGCAGAGGATTGAAGGTTTGGCTAACCGTAGGTTGAGTTGCATTTAATGCATTAGGATTTACATATCCTGCTGCCGTCAGCAGCGTGGTTTCGGACAAAGTACGGGCGTTGCTTTGAGGCCGTCGATATGAATCTGACGGCGGGATGATAAGATTCTCGAACTATGGTGAAGTCCATAATCCGTACCATGTGGCTCAGTCGGCAGGCCGCTGACGTCAACAAAATCAACCGCGCGCCCCGTCGGCCGGCCTGCCTGCTTGGGCGGTACTCGCGGGATCCCAAATATCTACTAATGCCCTTCTCACCGACCCTGTCACTAGAAAAGTTCATCAAATCGAGAGCTGGCTCAATATTCCTTTGAGGATCCTCTGCAATGTGTTGGTGGAGTGTGACGCGTACGCCAAACTTGCAGGGGACACCAATGATTGTGGAGAGGTCGCTAGACTCCACCGCATCATCTAGGTAGAGGTGGATCCTCGTGCGATGCTTTGGAAAGCACATTGAGTAAGCAAGCACTTGCCCGAGCGCATGCTTCCAGTTGGAAATCGAATTAACCTCAACGACCTCATCCTCTGTCAGTAAATCTGCTTGTCCGCATTTGCAAGCCACTTCCATGACGCCCCCTCCCGCTCAAAGAGCTCTTTCCTCACGCGCCTCTCTTTGGTCTTGTAAATGTGGATCGGTCGTGCGAGCTTCTGCCGCTCTTCCTCCAAGAAGTGGCTGCTCTTTCTGACGAGATCTTTGTGGCTTTGTTGATTAGCATTTGCAAGGGTCTGAAATTACTGCTGCTTCAAGGCCACGAAGAGTCTCTCACCAACGTGCCCCGTTTGATGTCGGCCATCAGTGCAAACTTTTCAAAGGCATCCGTCGTCATGTGGTAAAGATCTCTTGGCGGGCCGCTCCTCGAGAATGCACCACCGCGTGCCTTGACGTAATCCACACCCTCACCAAAGCGCTTTAAGAGCTTCCTCAATGCGTTGGCTTTCGCGCTATTGCTGAGGAATGTCCAGACGCGCTCGAAGTTGATTGGGAAGGCGTTGTCCGAATCCTCAAAGGCCCTAGTGAAAACGGCCGCCATATCCTGCTCATCTCCATAGACCAAGGATCCAGTTGCACACTCCATCACTCTTGGCTGGTTTGTGCCACATTCCTTTCTCCTAAGTCATCGAGAGGCCTCAAAGACATGCCGTGGTAGCCCCCCTCGCCGTCAAGCGGGTGCGTTGTTTTGGCCCGAAAAAGTCCTTGCTCGAGCGTAGAAGACGGTTGTCTAGCAGATCATCACACCCGCAATCCTCGAGACAGTCTCCCACGGATTCGAAAGGAGCATGACAGACACGCTTGGTTCTGTTTTCACATGGCTCCTTCAATGATTCCGGTAACAAGTACCCCGTACCATTCGAAGAAGCGTGGCAGTGGCTCGAGTATAGCACAAAGGCGAGTGCGTTGAGACGTTTGGAGAAGTATGTGAAGAATGATGAGAATCACATCAAACACGTTGACGTTAACACGGGTGCGGCACACGCACATTTGTACTTCTTGACAACCAATTGCTTCGAAGATCTCGCGATGAAGACGGAGACTCCAATCGCCAACAAGGTTCGCAGATACTTTCGAGCCGTTAGGAACGCCTATTTGAAGACGCTCAGGGCCTGGAAGAGCGTCGAGTCGTGCAAGAAGGCACTCGAGGTCGTCCTCGACAAGCAAGGTTGTCTATACCTGGCCTGAGCTTAAGAGGCTCTTCAAATACGGATATACGCTGTTTTGATAGCTCTATAAAGGCCTCGAAGGATATTGACGCAAAGATTTATGCCAGGCAGAAGGCGGCACATGCATGCTGCAGCAAAGTGGGCAATCACCGAGTGCGCAAAGGCTGTGACCATGATGATTGAGAAAAAGGACCAGATCCTGCCCGCAAATACTGTCAGGATGATAGGCGGATGCCCGGTGGGCCTTTCATACCGGGCAAGAGACACGGACAATATGCAGTTCAGGCTGAGGTATCTCCTAGAGGAGCGCGACGGGCGGCCGCATCGCGTGGGTATCGACTATAGGATGCGCATCAGAGTGGGGGGCATGGAATTCAGTCACAACATTCCGGTATTGGACGTGGTCATACAGAGAGCGCCACGAGGCCACGACCCTTGCCAAGAGGGCACGAGGCCTCCTATGGCTGCATTAGACTGGCTAGTTGATGACATCAGGGCCACGTGGAAGTCGAGCTCTCGCGCAAAACAGAGAGTATGGGCCGACAAGCGAGAGAAGAATCAGACTCGTTTCGAGAGCCTAAAAGAGCGTGTGAGAGCTGGCAGAGAGCCAATTGAGGGGCAGCTCGGGGCGATCAATAAAGAGTTTCTGGATTACATGCGAGACGAATCTCGAGTCCCCAATATTCCAGACTATCTAGACCTATTCAACTGGGCCAAAAGACGCAAGCGCTACTTGGACCCGCTGGCCAAGAAATCCAAGAAACAAAAGGTCCCCTTCTCCCAAAAGAAGCTCGACGAGTGGCGGCAGCAGATGAGGGGCGCCGTCTAGGGGTCCATCTCCATGGCTCCTGGGCCGACGTCGATGATAGCCAAGTCCGCCCCCTGCACACATAGACAATGTCTCAGCGTTGAAGTAAGGGTAGAATAAGAAGAATAAGAAGACAGACTTGCAAAGCACATTGCACAAAGTTGTCGTATTTCAAAGAGGTATTGCGCGGATCAAGTACTTCCACTGTATATGTGCTTCCTGTTGCTTTGGCCACTTCCTCAGAAGGTCCAGGTTGTGCATGTAGATGTAGTAGTCGTAGACCAACATGGCGTTGTTGATGGTCGACCTTTGCTCGGTCCTGTCGAACCGTTTCATCAGCTTGTTGATCTGCTCGGATACGGATTCGTTGTCTAGCCCTTGGAATTCCTCACGACCTTTCAGACAGTGTACGTTGTACTTGAACTCGTCGAAGCACTTGTGATTGACCGCATGAAAGCGGTCCGTCAGGAATGAAGTCTCGGCAAAGAACTCTGGCCAGCGGAGCAAGAGGTATGGGAGAGATAATCAGGAAGCTTGCACATGTGGTAGCTTGCATATATGGCAGGTCAACCAAAACAAAAGAGCTTCATGCAATTCAAGCAATACAGTGGAACCCCTGTGTCAATCACTCACCGCTTTGCAGTATTGAGAAAGTTCGCAGGCGTTGTCGTCGATGATGAAAGGTGGGGGCCGGTGCTCAAAGCGAGTGACGAGGAAGGTGAATATGTTATGCCGAGACTCGGGGCGAAGTAGCACGTGGTAATAGTAGACGAAGCGATGCTTGCACGTGACGACCATGACCCCGTTCGTCTCATCTGCCTTGCACCTTTGTGGCCCCTGCACGGATTAGAAAAAGCAGGCCTTTTCGGCACATTCATCAGCTCGTTGGATTTCATTGGATTGGTAGAAACTTCAATATAAACAGTGCAACATGATGCATTGACTGATAGTAGAAATAGTAAACTTACTCACCTTCGCCTCCTTTGCTTCTCTCGCCTCCCTCTCCTTTTTGGCCACGTTTCCAAGTTTCTCCTCCGCCTTCTGCAAACGGTAAGACGCTCGAATGAGAGACGAGTCCAGAAATCACCAGCTTTTCGCAAGCATGAAAAAGAACATTCCACAGCAACATGCAGACTTGGCTATTTTTGTCAAGTTCCAGAACACCCACCGTCAGTTCTTCTCCGGCCTCCAACATGAGGGAAAACTCCTGGGCCTCTGTGAGGCACGTGCAATCAGATTTGTCTCGTCCGGCATATTGTGGGACGTCTCGATACACCCTGTGGAACACGCTGCTCGAGCTCAGTCTGTGATGATTATCCACGTAGGCACCTCCAGCCGCCACCCCCTCAGACGTGCCCCGGCAAGGGCCCGACATCAGCTCCCGGATCTCCTTTATCAACAGGAGCGTCTCGTCGCGCGTGACTGGTTCTCGTACCCGACGCTCTCCGCGGCTTCCGTCCGGGTTCTTGGGGAATTTCCCAGCCACACCTCATCCATTTTGACTGACGGAGGGTCCACCCATCGAACCCCGAGCATCTCGCAGAGATTCCGAGACGCTCGGTCATAGGTGATGTAGTCCTTAGTCCGGAAGGAGAGTCGCAGCAGATGTTGGAGCAGCGAGGCAAGGGCTTTTACCATCTCCACCTTCACCTTGTAGCCAGTGCTCCGGCGCTGCTTCCGGTTTTTGGACGGATTGGAAAGTTGAAACCCCTTGGTTTCCTCACTGCCATCTATTGCGCTCTTCAAAATGTTCTGCAGAGAATCCTGTTTCACTCGACGCTGTTCTCGATGTGATGACAACCCTCTGCTTGCTTAAAGGCTGCTAAGAGTTGCACGACGACGTCCTGAGCGCCGTGGCGAAGAAGGTTGCTGTCGCTGTGGATGTAGCCAAGGTGGTAGAAGAAGTTCTTGTAGGAGTCGTCAGGGCAGAGGGTCTCCTTTGCGCTATCTACGTGCTCCACCGGGGTCAAGATGCAGCAGGGGAGGCGCTCCAAAAACTGCAAAGATCAATGGAAAGGAAGATTATCAAAGATGTGAAAAGATGTTATCTATGCAGAGTGAATCGCTCTCCAAAAAACTTCAATGATATGCGGGGACGATGTTGGCTTTTCTAGGTAAGTATGCCATCTCAAAAACGTTTGAAAACAAGAGTCGCTTAACTGATGGGACTCACCAGCCGTTCATCCGGCTTGAGAGAAACGGGTCGGCGCCCGGGATGGTCTTCAACTCCTAACCTGAGTACTCCAGGGTGACTGGTACGTGACCACTCCACTGCCTTAGCAGCCGTCTGAGCCTGGTGTTGGACACAAGTTTGGCAGCGCCTTCAAGGGGTAACTTTGTTCTCTGCCTTGGCGTGTTGTTGCAGCGGCAGTCAATCCGGGCCCCGAGTTTCTGCTCACGACACTCGGTTAGGATAGTAATAGGTTATGGGGAGGATGTTCACATCGTTCCCGGAGATTGGGTCTTTGTACAACTTCATTATGTGCGCCTCTCTGCAATCGATGTAGAGGGCCCCTGGATACTCCTTGCAATCGGGGCAGGTGGGCCAAGGCTTCTGGTCGTTTGCATTGGAGGTGGCTGGTGCAACGGCGGGGGGAGGTTCGCTCCCCCAGCCTGGCGGGGTATACTCCTCTGGACGAGGCACCTAGTAGTACTTGTCGAAATCGTCACCCTTGAATAGCGCATGTAGACACAATACTAAGACTTGAGAACGATTACCGGCACGCTAATATGGTCCACGGGGGAGATTTCAAGCTTTCCGTTCCGCTCTGCTCTTAGCAAGCCAACTTCGTCACCGAGGCAGCCGGACCGGGCGGACCGACCGACCGCTGGACCGCACCGGCCTGGCAACTGTAAGGCAGCCGGACCGGGCGGACCGACCGACCGCCGGACCGCGTCATGCATCGAGCAGGTCTTGGGTGCCGGACCAGGCAGACCGACCGACTGCCGGACTATACATGTCAGCAGTGCGCGACCCCTGGCCGGACCAGGCGGACCGACCGACTGCCGGACCGCACGTTCCCATTCTACCCGGCCAGTCCGGCAGTCGGTCGGTCCGGCAAGGTTTCACCCTGGGTGTCAATCATGGGTCGGCTACCGGTACCTGCCAGTGTACGCCGGCAGGTCGCACAGACCAGCCAGACCGACCGAGCGCTGGACCGAGCTTGATAACCCTAACACGTTCCGCCAATGCCCTACCCAAACCCACCCTAACCACCTAGCTAACCCCACCAAGGTCACAAGGAGGCTTGCAACAAACCAAAAACCTAAGGCGAGGCGACTAACCCTAACCCTAACTCGTCCCGCCGTGGGCTCACCCATACCCACCCTAACCCCCCTGCTAACCCCACCAAAGTCACTCGGGTGGTCGGTCGGTCTGTGAACTCTCCGGAGTCCGGCCGATAGTCACCAATTATATCATGAATTAATTACTGAATTATATCAAGAAAATTTAGAACTTTGCGCCGCCGGAAAAGCACCGGAACAGGGGACCGGAGCTTGAAATCTCCCTTGTGGACCAGATTAGCGGGCCCCTAAGAACGATGGCAGACGTCAGAGAAAACGAGCAGACAATTGACACACGTGGACCAAATCTTTTGGTGGCTATGAGAATAGCCATTGTATTTTACGTACCTCTGTTGGATTGAGTCGCTTCCGCAGGTCCCGCCATGTCATGTCTCCCTCCGTGTTGGGGTCCACCGTGCAATTCTTAAGAAGTGGAATTGATGGAAATTCCACCTGCAAGGATTTCTAAACATTTCAATAACAGACGGTTGCCAATACAGATTCAAAATGGAAGCGGTTACTTTTACGAAACGTCAGGGGCCAAAGCTTCGAGCACTGATACAAGATGCTTCCTTGGGGATCAAGTGACAGGCCGCCTCGCCATTCGCCTTGAACATGTTTGGGTTAAGAGACTTTGGCTTGGGTCACCCATTCGATAGCAAATTTCGTGAGAAAAGAACACATGCGCGGGTTCTCAGTTTCCAAACCTGCCGAATCACAACTTCCTTCTCATTCCAGATCGTCTACAGCGTGCACTTCAAAAATCCACTCCTCCTCCAACAACAATCTTGTCGTCCGTAGTACCGCTCGAATGCTTCTTAACAAGCATCGCCTTCGCAACTTGAAAATGTTCCGGCTGGTATATGTCCAGATTGTTTGTATTACTCCAGTACGTATTCCAGTCACTTACTCTGCTGAAACTCGCGCCGCAGCTCTTAGCTCCGCTACCGACATCCCCCTCAGCGCCTTCTCGAGCGCGGGCCGGTCCCCCCCCCACCGATCTAGGGGGCGAGCTTCTGGCTCCCACGCCTCTGGAGCAGTGCCGCTCTTACCCCCCCCAAAAGCGAACCCACGGTTGCGTGCTGCGTAAAATACTGCGTGTAGAGCCATTCTAAAACCGGGGGGGAAAGTGCGAACCCTAGATCGTGGTCGAAGAAAAGGGCGGAAACGACGGCGTGCAAGCAATTTGCTGGGGGTTGGTCGGGAAGAGTTCGGTGCAAAGGAGGGAGAGCGCCGCGGGGGTGAGGAGCAATTGAAGGGATGTGGCGGCGGTTGCAGAGAGCAGGAGAAAGAGAGGTAGCTCGGAACGCCACTCACAGCACGAAAGGATTACCATTTTGAGGAGGAGTTTTATTAAGACTTTTATTTGCGTGCTGAAGAGAGGTGGCGGCGATTGCAGAGGAAACTTCGAGAGTTTGAGCCTAATCGAAACGCCACTCGCTGCATGGGCGAGCCTTGCGGTTCGGAGGAGTTTTCCCTACTCCAGTATGTGACGTTTTGCAAACAACTCTTTTGGGCGGAAGAAGTCATTCTTTAAGAACGTTTGATACAGACAGCGATCTTGCCTGGAAGCTCAAGAGCGGCAAACAGTTTCTGGCAGAAGATTGGGGTGCAAGGAGAAACGATCTAGAGACACAGCCGAACCGTTTGCGCTGCAGCAATCTGCCAGTCGTTTGTTCTCAGCGTCAGCAAAACGCATGACCTTTCTGAAGAGGGCTTTCCTAGCCCCGTGATCACCTTCCGCTCCCTAGTGCCGCTATGCTCCCTACCCCTCAACACACAATTTTATCCTCGGCATATTCTTTAGACCCCTCGTAACACCAAAACGAGTCGCTTGCTGCAAACGCCAAACTTCAAACGTCGAACGAAGCTTGATGCCACGCCATCAGATTTGCAGGGTTCGAAGCAGTCGCCACGATCTGCCAGTTCAGAGTACTTACCCAAGAATAGGTACTAACTGTTCTGAAGTAGCCGGATCAGCCACCTCGGGCTCTTGCAGAAGAACTACGATTGGCTGGTCCATTAGCAGTCTGGCGATGCCACGTCCGCAGCGCACCGACGTCCGCAGCCTGCCAAACGGTGTGTTCTAGTCGGGCATCTAAAACGGAAAGGCCTGAAAGGCGTCCAATAACTGTCCAATCAAGTCTGAGGGCGTGGAAAGGGTCACTCTGAACGCATTAAACGCCGATAAAAGTCGTTCGGAAACTCGAAGGCGTTCGTGAGGATCTAAAAGGGAGCACACCGGCTCCTAAGAACGTGCAAGTTGAGTTCAAACGACACTGAAGGTTTTGAGTCGCGTCTGGCACGCTTGCCCACATGACACGCATTCAGAAGTTGTAAAAAATGCGGTTTGAAGTGTGACCCGACGAGCTCGTTGATTGGGCAACTCAAAGGAGTTTGGAAGTTCGGAAAATGGTTCTGAGAATGATAGGAAGCTGACAAAGACAAGCTTTCAACTGCAATCAGGTCCGGAAAACTCGAGTCAAACGCAAAGAGGTCAGGACTAGAAACTAGTAAGGAATGAAAGGCGGATGACTCGAGGAGCGGATCAGAATCACGGGTTAGAGCTCAATACGGACAATCTTGGACGGAAAACCCGTGCGCCGCGCATTGCTGGAGGCTAGTAGCCAGGTCGTGGGCCGATCGTCGGCAAACTAGCAAAGAGGAGAAAAAGCACTAGGTCAAGAATCTACCTCGAGCTCCCCCCGACAAGCTGCTTCACGAGCCTTCTCAGCGCCTCATAGGGGGACGCTAAAATGACCCTTGGTGGATTCTGGTGGAAATCGGAAACATAACGCGTAATGCTAACGATGATCATAGGGCCTCGGATGCTATCAAAGGGGCTGGGGGGTGTATGAAGAGTCCAGATGGCAACGCTATTCTACGCCAAAAGCAATCTGTGCTGGTGCATTTAGGTATGGTACGCACTCAAAGGACGGGTGGGGTGCGTTGGGTGGTTAGGGTGGGTACGGATGCGGAGCGTGTCACTTTCTGTGTTAGGGTTTAGTGCTAGGGGCTCCGAGCTTCTATGGACGGGGCTATTACGGACGGGTGGGGTTAGTTTGGTGGTTAGGGTGGGTACGGGTGCGGAGCGTTTCGTTTTTCGTGTTAGGGTTTTAATGTGGGGTGCTCGAGAGGCTTTTGTATCTTGATGCAAGTGGCTAAGTGCAAGCAATAGTGGCCAAGAGTATGGGTTGTGCATAGTTTGTGTACATTAGACGTAATGTGGAATTAATTCGACTTAGTAGTGTGCATACATAGAGAACAAAGGGTGAATTGCTCAAATTAGCCAATTACAGTAATTACTTAGACATTTTGGGCCCTTAGGGTGAACCCCTTTCACTATCAAAGCGTCTGAAGTTCCACATCTACCTTTGACACCTCGAGCAATTAGGGTAATTTGAGCAATTCGGGTAACTGAAGGTATGCATTGCTCAGTTATCCGAATTACAGCAGTTGCACACAATCTGACCCCCGGGGGTTCACTATCATGTACCCTCATAGCCCTAGAGGCGGTATACGTATCGCAAATTGTTGAATAATTGGGGTAATTGAGCAATTGGGCTAAATCACGGTTGCAAGGCTTGAAGTTGCTTGGATTGCTTGAATCAGGACAATTGCTCATGTTTCAAGAGTCCTATAGAGACTGGCATCGATCACAGCTGCTCGAATTGCTTGAATTAGCGTAATTGCTCATCTTTTTGGGCACTTCGCTGACCTCTACATACAACAGTTGCTTAAATTGCTCAAATTAGCGTAATTGCTCATCTTTTGAAGTGCTTTGATGACCCGTTCATACAACGATTGCTTGGATTGCTCGAATTAGCGCAATTGCCCATGTTTCAAGGTCCCCACACAACCCCACACATAGTAGTTGCTTAGATTGCTCGAATTAGCGCAATTGCTCGTGTTTCAAGGCCCCCATGCAGCCCCACACGTAGTTGCTGCATTAATTGCTCAAATTAGCGCAATTGCTCATGTTTCAAGGCCTCCATGTGAAGCCCCACACATAGGAGTTGCTTCGATTGCTTGAGTTAGCATAATTGCCTGCGTTTCAAGGGCCCCAACGACCTTCATACAAAGCTGTCGCTGGAACTGTTTAGATTATCTGATTGCTCATGTTTCAGGGCCCCAAGGTTCTTCATTGATGGAGCAGTGGATCGAACCTCACTCCCATATGCATAGCTTATATATCATAACCCATTGACTTTTTAAACCACCTTTGTTGACCCGTTACGGAACCCAATTCCACTAGAATCCACCAAGGGTCGTTTTAGCGTTCCCGGAGCGCCTCATTCGCCCCTCTGGGAATTGTCCGGGCCCGGCCATCGACATGCCCTGACGCGTGAGCAACGTGCTTCAGCAACCCTTTGTGGCCTGGATGTTGCATATCACTGCTGAGAATCTGACAGCTCTTCGAGACTATGGCAGAATGGAAGTAGTTTAAGGTTAATAGGGAGCCTGGGCGCAAGCCTAAGAAGCATATTTTGAGTATGTGAATAGTATCCCGTGCATGTCAGCCACACTGCAAAACATGAGTGCGGCTTTTGCTTGAGCATATTGAGCGGACAAGCATGCCCCGACTAATGCAAGCAGGCGCCCCCGCGGCCTCTTAGCAGTTTGATAGTTGAACGTTCAGAACGTTCACGACGGTCCCGTGAAATTGTACTTCAGTCTACTGTATATACCACCGGTAGTAGTATGCTACTACGGTAGTGGCCGGAGGAGGGGAGTGGCGGAGGTATTAGCTATAAGTTGGCCGCAGGCGATATGGCAACTGCTGTCCACGCGCGCGCCGGAACGCTCAGTTCCGTGCAATGCAAAAGTCAGACAGTACGGTACATCGTGCGGTACGGTCCCGGAAATGACAAAACCCAGTCTGCCAGGTGCCTGACACCTGTCGTTGACTTCCGTGGCGACCTTACCTGGCTGTTGACCACCATGATTGGCAGAGCCTGAGTTACATCATCAACATCAAGAACGTCAAGACCATATGATTGCAAGCTTGAAGTATTGCTAAGTGCGGTAGCTCATCCTGAGACTAGGAGGACGAGATAGCCTTATGTCACAGTGCTCCAATAATCATATCCATTCGCTGCGATTATTATTGTTGGGTGATTCATCAATCTCATCACGTCATGCTAAGAGGCCATCGAACACGCAGCTAAGACCTTTCATTGTGACATCGAAGTCACTGAATGAACAAGAGACTCCCCCTCTTCTCCTAGGCTTCCCAGGAATCCCCCGGTATAATGATTACCGAGGAGAGTCAACACCAAGAACTAGCCTGCCAACATTGACGGGGGAACTCTCGGGGATTTCCGGCAGCCCCGGCCGCTACCGTGCAACTTCTGCGAGCTTCCCACTGCATGCATAGGCTGCCGACCATCCCCCACTAGCTAGAGCCAGCAGCCCCGTAGTATAAATGGCAGCATTTTAGCGTAGGTTGCTCATTCTCAATTTTGCCAAGACACATTCTCTTCTGCAGCCTTTGAAAGCTTTTCTGTGCAAAGACCCAGTACTGCAACCATGAAGAACAGCATCCTCCTAGTGTCAGCCGTGCTGGCGGTCAATCTGATGCTGTGTGAAGCTGGCTGCTACAACTCTGGGCAGTGGGGAAAGTTGTGGGACATGACCACAGCAGTGGACAAGTTCAACGAGCATTATCACGGGCATGCCATCTGTGGCGCGCAATCATTGCAGTGGGTGGTGGATGCCGGTAGGGATTCTCATGGGAACGACTACCATTATGTGCTGGAGCTCAGGCGCAACGACGGTGGATCCTGCAAGACAATTGGACCTGCATACATGGATGCCATAGCCCACCAAGTCAGGACGAACTGCGCAGGAGACAACAGAGATACCCAGGGTGGAACGTTCAGTCTCAACGGTTTTACTGGAAAGATCGACCCCAACGCGGGTTGAAGACCCCTCAGGTGCGCGTGTGCTTCAGGTGCAGTGTGGCTAAGGCTAATGTCAGTGTCATAACTGCAACCAACCATTGAAAGTGTTCAACTTTCAAACTCCTTCACTTAAGTTCTGCTGCCACCGAAAACTCAGGGTGCGATCAGGCATCCCAGGAGTAGCTTGCAGCGAAATAGGGGTAAAACACTTGTCTGTGTTGTGCAATTCTCACTGCAGAGTGAGTGGGAGAATTGGTGATTGCAGTGAGCACCAAAAGGAAGCCTTTTGTCTGAACCGTGTCTGAATGTCTGAACCTTGCACACCATGTCTAGACTTGGTCTGCAGCTTGCGGACCAGATTCAGACACGTTCAACACGTCCGAAGTAAGTCTGAAGGATGTCTGAAGTCTCTCTGGCTTTGTTTGGCAAGCTTCGCTGATGTCTTACAGTGCTCTTTCGTTGGCAGATTGGCAGCCGCTACAAGCTTCAGCGGGTGGCATATGCGGCAAAGCCACGGGGCGGGGCCAAAGTGAGATGGTCGAAAGCCAACGGTGTGTGACAAAGCTAGAAATGTAGGGGGACATACATGGCTGGAGCCAGGACCGTTAGCTTTTGTACGATTGACAGTATTTGGAACATAGGCATTGATTGAGAGTGCGGCCGGCAGGCCAGGATTTTCGAAGGGTACGTGACCATCCTAAGTATTAGAAATATCCGTGACCATCCTACGTATTAGAAGAAAGCGTGACCATCCAGCTAAATGTAAGAAGTATCTAAAGACGAGAGCGATTGACTATGGCTTCGACCACTGTACATCAGGACCTGATTGATTTGGCCATTCTAAACATTGTGAAAACGCATGTGATTTGCAAAACGATTGAATTGTCTTTTAAGGATGCGGTTTCTGTGTTACTTCAATGAGCGCTTTGTTTTAAGAAGCTCGTAATATGGTTTCATAGTGCACTGTTCCAGGCTGCCTAAGGAAGTACTGTTTAAAAGCTAGCCCTAGACGTTGGTGTACGAGGGCTGGCAGCTCGCTGCCGGGGATTGATATGGACCCTGTAAGGAGCTGCTCACTTGCTTCTTTATACAGCTCGCATCGCCTCTATAGGCACTTCAATGCTGACGTACGCTGTGACGCTGACCGGACGCACACGAACACCCGGCCACGTGCTACTCTATGGTTCATATACGCTGAGTCCGACATGCAAGCCTGCCGAGTGGACGATGTGTTGTGCGCTTTCAGATTTCTAAAGTTCGAGCCGACAGATCTGCACGAGCACTTAGTAGTAACTCGTGAACGGTTCAATCCAGGCCAGACAGAGGCTGCCGCGCAGCACCAACGATGCACCATGATGCACCCGACCAATCATTCTGCATTGCATGCACCAATTTTAGCACGACCTTACTGTTAGAGTTCTTCTAATGAGAATTATAAGCTGGCTGATCGGTCGCTACGTACACGCGCGGCCAGCCAGGCAACCACGAGCATCAGTGTATTGTGTCGGACAGCGGCGCTTATCACGGATCAGATTGTACAGCTTCCATATTTCTGGAAGCTGCATGCATACCACCGTCATGCAGGCAATATCATTACCGTACGTGAATGCGCGTCAATATGCATGAAAAGCCCGGGATCCCGAAATAGGTCAAAGTTTTCGATGCGAAACTAATTAGTTATTAAGCAATTAACATGCATACATGGCTTTAATTTATATAACGCAGCGACTGCGTGGGCACTGAACAGCATGCGAACACTTCCATATCAAGCGCAACGCACTCGCACGGGTGTGTCCATGATTACATGTGATACAGCGGCGACTGCTTAAACCTCACGAAAGCTTCGGACCAATCGCAGGACTCGGAGGCCCAGCTAGCTCGCCAGCCTGCTCACTGTCTAAATCCGCCAGCCGCATCAAGGTGCCGTAAATCAATGCGCATCATGCTTGACGAATCAATCAGCCTACAAGATGGCACCAACGATCGAATCATGGCACGAAGTTGCTCCCGCGTGGAATAGAGTATGTGGCGGGGACTTAGAGTATGTAAGTAACAATCTCCGTTAAAATCACGAATTCCGAGGTCGTCACTAATTCCAAGGTCTTTTTACGCCTGTTTTGGCCAGCTTGCCGAGTAGCCCGAATGAAGGCCTGGTCTCCTTTAATGCAACACGGGCTTACTCATCTCGTATATCGTAACAATGGCACGTTACCTTTTGGACGTGCTCAGATCTCCGCGGGGAGGGCCTTATGAGCCCAAGAAACTGCAGCTCCGCCGTGGCTTGAAAGAAGCAAGCTCTGTTGGGGACGTCAAGGGTGTTCGCAATTTGTGTGGGGGAAGATTTGAAGCTGGTGGTTCAATGTTTTGTCTACTTCTCTAAGATGATGAGATTCAGAGATTAAGATTGTACAGCACAAGCGGGGACCAAGATAAGCCGTCCAATACAGAGCATTGAAAGTTGCTTTACAGGGTTTGAGGCCAGAAGAAGAACTGGAACCATCCTTCGCAGAGACTTTAGGTCAGTCCAATGACAGCGATGAGGCAAAAGGCGCAGCGCACCGTTTTTAGCAGGCAATTAAAAGAGCGGGCGTTGCTTCTCCGCCGGACAGAGCCTGAGCCACACGCTGATCTGCTTCAATGCGCAAAGCAGGCGCGAACTGTTCTCAGAACAAACGGCCTCATGAAACGTCAAACCAGAAACCATTGAAACGATAAGAAACACAAACGCAAGGCCTGCGCTGTGGCTGCAAGGATACTGTAGCGTCGCCCTCTCTTCTTCCGTCAGGGGGGCGCGCAGCCTCGCTCTCTCCCCCGTTCCGTTTTCCGTCCTCCTCCTTCTCCTTCGGAACCGGCCGTTTCCGGGGCTTCCCCCTCCCCCGGACCTTCTGCAAAGGGAACTCCCGTTCCGCCGGCTGGGGCGGAACTTTCGTCGACGACTCTGGAGGGGGGTCCGTCGCGTGGTCTGACTCAGTCACGGCGGACGGACCCCCCACGGCCGAGGCGAACGCTTCGTACCAGGCCGTGATGCTGACGTGGTCGCCGAACTTGGCGCATAATCAGTACCTGCATCGATGCAGCCGGAGGAGTTTGGGGCAAGATGGTGTGACAGATTCCAGATCCAGATGCTATTTCTCCGCTGGTAACGAGTTTATTTCTTTCGTTTCGTTGTCACCACGGTACGTACTGACAGCCTACCTTGATACTCAGCAGACCAGACTTCAGCTTTTTTTAGCTTATGGACTCAGATACATCTGACTGTCTTCGAACAAATCGACAGGTCGTCTAGCAGAGACGTACGTAACACGAACGCCACTATCCATCTGATATCATTCTGTTGGCAAGAGTGGCCCACCAAAGCAGCACAACGTCACACAGATCTGGAACCGAGGAACGCATATGGGGTTATTCTGAAATGTGTGAGCCTCACGCTGTGCAGGTGTCGTGAAGACTGGGCCCCGTTTCGCCCTCCGCTGAGCAGCAGTCGCAGGGCAGAGAGTGCGGGTCGAAGTGAGGGCCTGCTGGACAAGGCCTCGCAAGGGCGGCGACAGAGCCTGCATACAATTAGCCAAGCAATCAAGTTACGACTTTGGCAACACTCTTAAAGATGATTCGAACATTGCAAACAGAAGCAAGTTCAATCCAGGAAAGTACCCGCTTGTATGAAGCAAGGGGAGGTCAAGACGGTGGGTTCTCTGTAATGGGCCGCCCTCACTCTCAGGCAATCACGATGCAACTAACACTTGACCATATGTTCCGGTGACTGAAACAGATTGCTGACTGGCTTCATTACGTTGGAAAGCGGATGCACAGCGGCCGTATCGCGGATATATGTCTTAGTTCGCACCTGTTGTTCCAAAGCGGCGACGTCGTCGAAGCGAGAAAGCTCGTCCAGCGGAGCCGGTTGGACGCCGCAATAAAGCGCCTGAAGAGACGCGTCAACGTAATCAGGTGCAGGAAGACGGCAGACGATCAACGGCAGAGAAGTCATGGCACAAAAGCAATCACCATAAGAGGCGATGAAGAAAGGAAACATGGATCTGATGCTGGCAGGTGATGGATGATTACCGTCGGAAGAAGAGCAGCCAATAGTCCCCAGCACGAGTTGTGGGTGAGGGTTTAACGGTGAATTTTGGAAAGGTGATAAGACGAAAGTGAACGCAAAGCATGCGCTACAGAAGACGTCGCACTTTCAAACATACAGAAAGGAGCGAACCACAGAAGCTGCAAAAGCGACACAAAAGCGGCAAAACAAATCCTCTGAGCAACTCTCACGACCCTCTTTTGGCCCTTTTGTAAGTTAAGAACGCACTGAAAATGGACAGGAATGCTTTCTGGACGGTTCCTATGCAGATAAGAGGCAAGAAAGGAAGCAGGTGCGGACAAAGACTCACTCGACCATTTTTCGCAGCAGCGTGCCCAACTTGTCCTTCAGGGAATCCCCCGGGTCTTTTGCAACGACCGGCGCACGTACTTAGGGCCTTTCTGCACCAAGTCAGAGAAGGAACGGCTTTTGAGGTCCGTAATATGCGCTCTACAGGTGCTGTCAGACTTTAAAGACGAAACGCATTGAGGATAACGCCGTTGCCATCAGATGAGTCACGAACGCGGCGGGCAGTTTATTGACCCGCCCCTGTCCAAGTTGAAGCTCCCTCCGTAAACTTGCCAACAGACTTGAATTGGCTGGCGCCACATGGGGAGAGGGAATCCAGGCGAAACAAGAGTTGTCTATTCTCGTCAAGCAAAAGTTCCGAATGAAAGGCTCGCAATTTTCAGAGTACCTCCTGGGATTCCATTCCAAAACCTGAGAAGCAAACGGAGAACCCGGTACTTCGTAAAGGATCGACATAACTTTTCTCAGTCCCGTCACATAAGCTCATGCGGGCGCCTGTAAAACCAGGTACCCCTGTTCAAGTAAGCCGTTCTAGCAGGAAGCTAGACAGAAAGCGGACGTTTAATAAGCAAGCCAAAAGCTGCATTGAACAAGATCGAAGACTCTAAAGGACCGATTACTACAAAGAAAGCTTTGTAGAACAGTTGCTGGAACAGGGAGTGGTGTCCATAGCTAGCGCTGGAGAGTGCGAACGTACCTCCGCTTGTCTGCTGCCCTCTGCCCCCGGTGCATCATCTGCATTCGTTCCGCATCTTCCGACAACCGCTACCCGTTCGACTTTCGCTTCAAGTTCCCCCACTACTGCCCCTCCTCGCGCTGACGCCGCCGCTACCGCTACTCTCCCGGGGGAGCTTCTCACAGCTATTCCAACCCCCTCGGCATCGTCAGTGCCACCGTTTATGCCCCCCCGTGCCTCCTCGGCCTGTTCTTGCCGCGCCGCCCCCGCTGCCCCAACAACCCTCCGGGGGGAAATTTTAAGTGTGGCTTGCACCCCCCTGCCGTCTCCACTTTTCCCATTATCCCCCTGGTGCGCTTCTTTCATCCGTTCCTGCCGCGCCGCCCCCGCTGTCTCGGCGACCCTCGGGGGGAGCTTCTGACACCTGTCCCGACCCCCCGTTTGTGTCTGGATGCGCAGCTTCTTCCTTCCTATTTTCCCCCAAAGTCCTGCTGATCCGAGCCGCCCCGGCCGCCCAATTGAGCCACTTCTGCAACAAAGACCGAGAGTAGTTTGATTTTAGACTCGGCTGAATGTTAGCGGAATCATATAGGAGCGAGAACACTCGGACAAGCTCCCTGCATATGAACGTGGGTCGCTTCAAGGATGCCCTTCCAGTAACGATCTTGAACGTTGGACAGAACTCAGTCCTTGCGTCAAGAAGATTCCATCCGGCCGGTTCTCGAAACTCCATAAGGCTGATCTTTATTGACGAGACTCCACGGTCGAAGAAGAGAAAGACATCCGTCTTTCTCGGTCCTCTCCTCGGACAGAACCGATTTTGTTAACCCGTTTCGCTGTTTAGGTCTTGACCAGGACGACAAAAGAGGGAGTTCCGAGCCCGCCCCATCCTGTCCTTTTCAAAAGAGGCAAAGCAGGTAACGTGTGGAAGTCAAGGTGCCACGGTTAGCCCACCTGTGGTGCCTCTTTGAGGCCTTCGGCTGGCCCCTGCTAATCACTACCCGCCTTCACGAGCCAAAGCGGAGAACAGCGGCGGAGTCCATCAGGGTCAGCAGCCCCGGAATATTCCCTTCGCGCACGCAGCCGCTCCTCCCAAGCCTGGCTTTGCCGTGCCAAGAGCTGTTCTTGTCCTGACCATGCCGCTGTCGCGAAAGCTCGTTCCTGAATCAGGATATTACAGTCCCGGTCATTATGACTCGAGAAAGTGAATGACTGTGCGCTTTTACAGTGAACTGATGGTTATTCCAGTGTGTCACGAACTGCGCACGCGAGTACCAACCGCACAGTGCTAAGTAGAGTCCCATAAGAAGCGCCGGTCAACCTTGCAATGCCCGGTCGATCTCTTTGAACTGACCGCATTCAGCGCTTCGGATTTATCGGTTCTCGGTTCAGTACATTCACAAGTCCGAAGATGCTATTACATTCGCTCACTTCGATTTTGGAAAGCCACTGTCCAACTTTCCCATCCACCAGCTTGCACGCAGATTGCCCATAAAGAGTTTATTCGCATCCAGCGGACAAGAGATAGGCTTCAAGATCGTTCCGCAGAATCTGAAGGCGGTGCACCGCTGAGTGGCACTGACCTGGGGAGTATCGTAAGTCACAAGCCGCTACCCGCTTCATCAGTTCCGTCATGGGCCGCCTCTTCCCAAGGTCTCGTCGTCGAAGCATGCTTCGGGCGTCCAACTTTCCTGATTCCTCCGGCCTGCATCCAGGAAAGGAAATCTTCAATCCATGGAGTTCGGATTACGCGCTCAAGGATAAACACTCTGCGTGGTACTGAACTAAGTATTTGACCCGTTTGATGCCGACTGTCCGCATTCAAATCCGGTCTACTATGCATGAGCTTCTGCAGATTCATGCAGAGCAGCAATGCTGCATAGCAGCCGCATTCGTGGCTGTTTGCCTGCCTTGCATAACGGCACACTGGATCCGAACGGCCCAAGAAAAAAAAATCCGCGCACAATGTCTCCTGGAGCTTTCAATTAGCAATCATGGCGTCAGGTTCCGCGACAAGAACAAAACGAACAACTGGAAGTCTTTCGCAAATTTGCTAAGCCTTCGAGATTGCAGTTAAGTGAGCTACCAGATTGCACATATCAGCCTGTCGGCAGTCACATGAGGAGCTGTCAGGCGGGTCCTATGCAGTCCCAAGATAGAGACTAAATAGGTAAACATAAACAAATAGCAAGTAAAGAAAGGAAAACAAACTTTACCAAATTATTCCACCATTTGTAGAAGTGACGTGCCCCGCCTGATCCAGAGCAACTGGAAGCATCAAGAGCAGCGTGGTATGCCTGCAGGACGCCTCACTGCGTCCTTCCGGCAGCCTGATGAACGAGGATGTCAAGGACATGTGGCGGCGGAGGCAAGTGCAAGCTGCATTGCGGCCCAAAATCCAGCCTGCTCAAAAACGGACCCTGCTCTCAGGAAACAACTGCCAACTTACATGAGGGACGCAGTGCCACTTCTGCCTAGGCATTGATTGGCAGAATGTCGGTGACTGCATTGGGCGGCAAAAGAAAAGCTCAAGTAAGCAAGATTAATAGAATGTTGATTGACAGCAATCTCACATCACAAGATTACATCATAATCAACCACTGCAATCAACCACAAGCCTGAAAATAAGATATTCTAAATGTCAAGGGTTCTCGGGCACGCTCAGAATCGAAAGAGTTAGGATACTCGCGCGCACAGACACAGAATATGATATCTTCTGGCACTCTTGATCTTTCTTCCCCACCTGGCGCTTTGTGCAGCAAAGAGCTGCTGAACGAGCTGCAAAATCTTGCAAGGTCACTGCCACAACCAGAGACTGCTGCGTCCGTACTGACCACTTTGTGGCTAGCCGCCTTCTTGCCCGAGACATTGCGGCTCAACTGTCAAAGCGCACGGCCCCATTTAAAGTGGAGCCCTTTCATTTCCAAATCCAGCTACAATTTGAGCTTGCTTACATTGCACGTTGCAACTCACGCCCCCTCTGATGCGGGCTCTTGCGCCTCCTTTTAAATACTAGTTAGTAATCACGTCACTCTGCTGCTGTAGTTTAGGATACAGAGAGGCTTGTCGGTGACTTCTCTGCAATGCGCTGTGGTTATCTAGCTCGTTACGGTTAAACCAAGAACCTTCGAGCGCAGAATTCAAATGTCGGCAGAGACGTTTGCAGCAACACTTGCCGGCGAAACGCTCATGCTACGGGCCTTGAAGCAGCCGCTGGAAAGCAACGGCAGACGCGCCGTCAACAATGGATTTCGTGGTCAATGTACCGAACAAGGTTGGAGTGGGATGGAGGCAGCTTCGAAGTTCGATGCCTTCCTCGATCGTCAAGACATCCTGAAAATTCTCACAATGTGACCTACATGTGAGTCACATGTAGGTCTGCAAAAATTTGTGTCATTTTGAGCTCTGGACAAGGATCATGGGGGACGAAAGCAAGGATGAGGAAGACAACTTCCTGACCATCCAGGTACTCAGCTCAGACTTGCTTGGTGTGTTATCTGCAGCGTGGTGCTTGCCAATTCTGACAACAATCTTTGGACTGAGTGGTCTTGGATCTAGCTGTTCTGTTGACGTTTTTGTTTGGCGGCCCAAGCACGCAGCGCTCAACCAGACTTTTTTGATCCTCCAAGTCTGATGCAAAGCTGACTGTTTCAGAATACTGAACTTTAAAGCCAGAACATTATCTAGTTCGCTACAATTCGAATGGTGACTTGCTTCTGTGTGTGGACTTCGCCTTTCTCAAAGAGCTTGTGTGCTTCCTTTCTCCAGGAATGTTTTATCTTGCACAATGCTGAGCCCCGCGGCAAGGGGCCAGCTGCTGATGACACCGCACCAGAACAAGCATGGGGAGAAGCGGATTACCGGATAGGGACTTACAACGAAGCATGGCAGCGAGTGAGCGCCAATGTGCAAGTGAGCCTTTCCGATGGCATGTAAAAGGCCTGGTTAGTTCTTTGGGTTAGGAGATTAATCCTCATTTACATCGGCTTGACAGACAGTGCAAACGGTCCCTTGTGACGGGGATCCATTTTAGCAAATTCAATTCCATATGTCTAGATTTGAGACGAGCCGTGATTGCAGACAGCGCCCCTGCACTCTCCTCTCCCCTCGTGCCTCGAGCACACATAAAGCAGACCACATAAGAAGGGTATGACACCAACTTCCAATATACCTGTTGTCAACATAGAGGAGTATGTATGAGTGTCAAATTACAAACTTCTTTCCCTTCTGCAGGCGGAGCTAGATAAGCTACACCAGCCCTTCTACCAGTCCGTCGCTGACCGTCTCAGCTGTATCCATTACGACTCCCAACTTTCCTACGGACCCCCCTCCAACCAGCAGGGCGAATCCACCCCCCCTCAGCTGGACCCCGACGCTTTGGCGGCCCTGCGACCCTTCCAAACCCTGCACAGTCGGCTGTATACGGGGCTGCTCCTTCTTGGGGGGGTCACCCCCTCGGATCACAGCGGGACGATCAGCGAACTGGCGGGGTATCTGCGTGAAAGGGGGTTACATGTGGCTTACATGTCGATGGCCGGGGGGGTGCGCAGGGGGGCAAACGAGGCGCTGAAGGGACTTGTGAAGCAGCTCGTGGGGGTGGAGCTTGAGGCAAGTGTGCAAAACCTGAATATTTTCCTCTTCGGAGCAATCGCAGTTTGTTTGACTGGGAGCTTGGGAGCGTGTCCCGTCACAGAGGACGTTTGTGGGGCTTGTTACCTGGTGTACAAGATTGAAGAGGCTGCGACTTATTTCAACTGCTCAGTACGCAACTTTGACGATTCCCTTCTTGTCGAATTCGCGGTTGTAAGGACACAGTACACTCTCTCGAGAAGAGACGTGGACAAGGCTGTGGGATGTTGCTCAGCTCATTTCCACTTCCTATCAACGCACCTCAACATGCTTCCAAAGCGACACGAATCTCTTCAAGGCAACCAAATACCTGCAGGACCCCCTGTAACGCTTTTGGACGTCTTTTGATGCTAGATAAATGTTGGTTGAATGAAACCCGAGCATCTCTCGAACTTCTCAAGGACTTCTACGATGCTCTTTGAGCATTTTTGAAAGATTTTGGCTCGTCCTTTGTACGGTCTTCAAGAACGTACTGCTTTTTGAATTCGGCAAAACGTGATTCATTGTCTGGGCAGCCGGACAATCCATATTGATCATCCAACCCCGATGATTGTATGTCACGGTTCTTTTCAGCGGGGAGACCTGGGTCTGCCGAAACCTCTTATGATTAATTTATCTGGCGTTGAAGGTGCCGAAATCCGAAATTTCGGTAGATCAAGACAAGAAGACGCCATTTCTCACAGGCTGCCGACGTTGACGCATTGCGGGCGTGGCACCGACAGGCTGCCAATGGAGACCAGCCGATCGTGATTCTTTTGGAGGACCCAGAGGCGGCCGACCCGACTACGTTGGAACAACTGGTGCTCATCCTTAGGTGAACGGTTTTCGGGTTTCTTCGGTTCTTTTGGATTTTGAGGTTTTGGATGTTTTGGGTTTTGGGTTTTTGGGTTTTCAGATTTTGGGGTTTTGAGCTTCAAGCCTAGCAAATCCATTGTGGCGGTCATTACGCCTATGCGGCAAACGAGCGGTCTGTGCACCCGCAGGGCACTGTTGTAGAGGCAATCGATGCAGTCTACCGCAAAGTGTTTGATACGTAACGAAGGTTTGGCGGGATCATTGTGGGCCGGCGTGACTGGTAGCAGGGCATCTGTTTCCCCCTTCTACTTCCCAGTTGAAGCGACTACGTTCGGTCTTGAAAGAGAGAGGAAATGCAGAGAACAGAAAGATTAAGATACGAGAGATGAAAAGCAGCGACAGGGGCCACAAGGTGAAGATGGAAAAGCAAATGCTTGTTTGAAGACGGCATGCAGTGTTATGGGAGCCTCAAACCCAGCAATCCGCAGAGCGCCGCAACTCAAATGGATGTTTTACATCTTTCGCGCTTGGATCCTGTTGAATCTCGGAACCCGACCTTCTGCCGTGCAGATACTCGCAGCGTGGTTCCTACTCCCGAATCTGACGCAACCCCCCCCGTCTCAAACGTTCTGAAAGGACGTTTTGTGTTCTCGTAACTTCAATTCTCGATGAAGTACTCCTCAAAACTTCGTTCCTGATCATGCAGCAAGTGGCATACCGAGCGACCTCGTTTTCCCCTTCTGTCCCCCGCTCTTTGCCGCTCCCCGCAAGTGAATTTCCGGGGTAGTTCAGATTACCCGGAAGTGAATTTTGAAAACCTCAGAACTAAAGGACGAAAAACCTTCGCACCTTGTACCCGCCCGTGGAGCGAGGAACATTCCGAGCTGCCCTCTCTTGTTCCGCCCTCTCTTGTTCCGTCTCTCTCTCATGACTGCCGACAAGTTCCTCCAACCACTTCGACCCCTTTCTTGAGTTCCATAAATGATTTCTGCCCGCATCGTTTTCAGAACGGGTGACTTCTTGAGCCCGGAAGTTGACTTAATTGAGAACCTCAATCCTCTAAACCCTTTTACTCGCCCGTGCAGTGAGTAGCATTCCGGCCCACCTCTCTCTCTTTCCTTTTCCCCTCCGACCTTCTCAAAGGGTCACGATTCCCAAAGGTTGACTTTGGTGAAACCGCACGATATTGATGAACTTGTCAAGGGTTGGAAGTGGTAAAACCTGCCGAATATAATAGCATCTCACTCCCCCTCATCGTTTATTCTTAATGCGTAGATTCATTTCGCACAATCTACTCCAGAAAAGAAAGGGGGAAAAACAAAAGAATAGATAAACCATTGAATGAATCTACAGATTAAAACGCATTTTCGTCCATGCAGCGAGTGGCGCTCCGAGCTACCTATCTTTCTCCTACTTTCCGCAACCGCCGCCACATCACTCCAACTGCTTCTCACCCCCGCGGCGCTCTCCCTCCTCCGCACCGAAGTCTTCCCAACCCCTCCCCCAGCAAACCGCCTACACGCCGTAGTTACCGCCCTTTTCTTCGACCACGATCTAGGGTTCGCACTTTCCCCCCCGGTTCTAGAATGGCTCTACACGCAGTATTTTACGCAGCATGCAACCGTGGGTTCGCTTTTGGGGGGGGCTAGAGCGGCACTGCTCCAGAGGTGTGGGAGCCAGAAGCTCGCCTCCCTGGATCGGTTCGGGGGGGACCGGCCCGCGCTGGAGAAGGCGCTGAGGGGGATGCCGGTTGCGGAGCTAAGGGCTGCGGCGCGAGTGTCAGCAGGGTAAGTGACTGGGATACGTACTGGAACGACACAAACAATCTGGACATATACCAGCTGGAACCTTTTCAGATTGTGAAGCCGGTGCTTGTCAAGAAGCATTCAGGGGTACTACTGACGACAAGATTGTTGCTGGAGGAGTAGTAGATTTTTAAGAGCACGTTTTAGACGACCTGGAATGAGAAGGAAGACGTGCTTCAGCAAGTTTGGAAACTGAGAACCCGCGCCTCTGTTCGTTTCTCACGGAACATGCTGTCGAGTGAGTGACCCAAGTCAAAGTTTTCAACCCAAACATGTTCAAGGCGAATGTCGAGGCGGCCTGTCACTTGATCCCCAAGGAAGCATCTTGTATCAGTGCTTGAAGTCTTGGCCCTTGACGTTTCGTCAAAGTGACGCTTCCATTTTCTTCGCAGTCAGGCGGAGTCGAGCAGCAAGGCCCTCGTCGGACGGCTGTCGGACGCCCTAAACAACGCCTGGCAGCGCCGACGAGACATGGCTGCCGCCGTGCAGGTACGAGGAGACGGATTCAGGGCTTGTTCACAGTTTCAGAACGCTCCTTTGCAGACTGTGGAGAACGTTTCTCAGCAAAGGTTCAGGTGCTTCGCCCTACCTGAACAGAAATCCACCATCAGGGCGAAGTGCACATTTTGATGTGTTAGGCTGGAAAAGTGATTGCTGCTTTCGCGAAGATTCCTGAGCGGAGGAGATAAAAGCAAGCGCAGGATGACGCATTCCTGAAGTAAGTTCAGAGGCTTCGCGAACTTCTGTCCTAAATCCTGCGATCAGTCGCTCATCCCGGGCCTCTAGTAACTATTCCTGCCGACATCCCTCGTCCACTGTCACTACCTTTATCTCAAACCGCATCCCTCCTGTGCATTCCTAGAGGTGCCCAATGAATCCAGATGTCGATGTGGATTCATTGGGCACCTTTAAACATACACAGAAGCATTCTGTGCATTCCTAGCCTTTTATATATTAAATGCCCAAGTTTGAAGTCTGGTCTGTTCCAGGGTCTCAGGGTTTCAGGCTTTCAAAACTTCCCAGCCCTTTAACCCCCTCTCACGGAGGGAAAAGACCGTCAACAAAGCCGGGTTCGTACTCCGGGTAGATGCCCTTCTCTCACACGACGCTGGTTAAAAGCTGGTTAGAAGCTGGTTAGTTGCCATGAAGCAAAGTTACGAGCGAAAGCTTCCTATTCCGCATTTGGGTGCAGTTCCTTTACCTCGCCTGCCAAGCCACGAACTTCGCCCAAGTCGCCCTCCCCCAGCTCCACCGCTGGTCCGCCCGCCCCAGCTTCTTCGATGACGTCACCCGCCACGTCAGCACGGCCCCGTCCCCGCTCACGTTGTTCGATTCCGCCGGTGTCGCCGAACCGGAACCGGAGGCGATTAAGGGCCAGGGCCGGCGTTTGGTGGGTATGGTTACGCGGGGGATACGGGAAATGAGCAACGAAGGAGCGCAACGTTTGGTGGAAGAGTGGCGGGAAGCGTGTCGGAGCGACACTGAGTTCTTGCGCCAGGTGAGGCGCTCCAAGTAGTCTGGGCCGTAACCAAAGAAGTCTTCTCTCGCTTTGATTTGAAGTGAATATTTCCTTCGCTGTGCTGTTAATCTCTGTCGAAGGGGTCGCCCAAAAAAAAAACGAGTGACTTGACGGTGTGCAGCTTTGCGTTGACTTTGAAACCCTTGTTGTGGTCAGCGGAATGGTTGCGGACAAAGGAACGTGATCACGACTCCCGCCCGTATCCATCCAGTTGAAGAGCGTATCCTTCCCAGATAAGCTATACGTAAGCCGCTGTTTTTCCTGGCTTCCTTGCACTCTCTCGGTCCTTCGGCGTCCGAGAACATGATGCGACTCTGCTATGCCGCCAACTTCCGACGTCTTCGGCAACTTTTACTTGCATTCTCAAACGGATTCTGCCGCTGCATCCAGGTACAATCGGAGCTTGCTGAAGTGTCCGCTTCCTGGGACAGCCCTGAATCAGCACCGGTGGGGGAGCCAAGCAGATCCGACACGAACGGGGGGCACGAGCCAGCCCCAAAAAGCCCCACTGAAAAAGAAGTGGGGGCAGCGGGGGCTGCACGGGACGGGGCCGGCGCAGGGGCGGAAGAGGCGTCTGGAAGTCAGAGGGCGAGAGGGGGGGTAGAACCAGCGCTGAGAAGTTCCCCCCGAAGGATTATTGGGGCCGCAGGGGCAGCTCGGATGAGCAGGTCATTGGGGGACAAGAAGAGGGAGAAAGCTGAGGGTCCAAGCACAAACGGGGGAGACGGGTCAGGAGTCAGAAGCTCCCCCCGAAGGGTGGTTGGGGCAGCGGGGGCGGCGCGGCAAGAACGGGTGAGAGAGACGCACAATGGAGGTAACGGAAGAAATGACGACAGCAGGGGGGGTGAAGCTCCGCTTAGAAGCTCCCCGCGCAGGATTGTCGGGGCAGCGGGGGCGGCGCGGCAAGAAAAAGCAAATGAGACGCAGGGGGGGCTAAACGGTGCCACTGACCATGCCGGGGGGGTGGGAATAGCTGTCCGAAGCTCCCCCCGGAGGGTAGCGGGAGCGGCAGTGGCGGCGCGAGGGGGGGCAGTGGTGGGAGAAAAGCGAAAGGCGAACGGGGGGCGGTTGTCGGAAGATGCGGAACGGATGCAAATGATGCACCGGGGGCAGAGCGCAGCGGAGAAGCGGAGGTGCGTGGCCACGGTCTATGCGCTCGTACGACCGGGCTGAGTTTAAAAGTCTGGGTCTTTCAATATTGCGTGAGGTTTGTGACGGGAGGTTGTACACGTTTGATTGGGATCTTGGCGTTAGGAACAGATGGTTATTGACGGACTGCGGAAGGTTGCTCTGCTCTTTCGAGCGGAACCAGTCAACTTGAGGCTGCCCGGGCGCGCTTTGACGTGAAGACTCTGCATGGTCGCCGGAATCGCGACTCAGTCCGATGACTCCCGATACCAGTCTCTCTCTTTCGCGTCTTGTCTTTTCAACTTTCTGTGAACCACGTACAAATCTTCCGAAAGTGTGGAAGCTTGTATTTCCCGACTCCCTGCAGGAAGGCCTTGAGTGCCCCCGTTGTTGCAAAGGACCCGGGGGATCCCCGAAAAGACAAGCTGGGCACGCTGCTGCGACGAATGGTCGAGTGAGCCGTTCTCCATACCTCTTCCTGCCCTTGCCTCATATCCATGGAAGGAACGGTCCGAAAAAAAGTGTTTCTTTTGTTTCGATGCCTTTCTAAATCGCAACGGTGTCAGAAGAGGGTCGTGAGAGTGCGTAGAGACATATTGGCCACTTTGGTGCTTACTTTGTTGCTTCTGTCGTTTGTTCCCTTTTGTAAGATTGAAAAGTGCAACTCCCTCTGTAGCGCATGCTTGCATCTTTCTCGTCAATTCACATTTCGGAAAGTCACTCTTTCCGCACCGCTTCCGCAACACGTGCCGGCGTCTATTGGCTGCTCTTCTTTGTGTGAAGTTCGTTTCGTTGGAGAGCATCAGATCCATATTTTCTTTCTTCAGTGACGCATCTGATGAATGCTTCCCTGCTTTGACTCCTCTGCCGTCGATGTTGTGCCGTGTTTCGTAACCCTATTCCGTAAATCACTCCGCAGGCGCTTTATTGCGGCTTCTCAACCGGCACCGCTTGACGAGCTCTTACGCTTTGATGACGTCAGCGCTTTGGAACAGGTAAGAACACGTCGGGTTCCTGCATCTCAAGTCCGCTGTTTATTTTTCAGATAGGCAACTATCTTAGACGACCGGGTCAGTACGCATTCTCAATGCCATGAAGCGACTCCCTTGAAGAGAGACAGTCAGCAGTGGCTCCCCAGGGTCGGTTCTCGGTCTTTGGAACAGCTTACTGCTGTGCCGATTGGATCAGGGATTCCCGAGAGCGAGAGCGCCTACCTTGAAAATTGTCCTTGTCTTGTCCGCCCTTGTCTTACTTCAGCGGAGATCTCCCTACTGAATACTGCTTTAGTCTACACTGCTGCAATCATTATTAGCTGCGCCACAAAAGCGTAGCTTGATGATGTCCCCTTCATTTTGCTTGCAGGCTCTGTCGCCGCCCCTGCGAGGCCTTGTCCAGCAGGCCCTCACTTCTACCCGCACGCTCCTGCCTTGCGACTGCTGCTCAGCCGAGGGCGAAACGGGGCCCACTCTGCACGACACCTGCACAGCGTGAGGCTCTTTCGGAAAAAGCCGCCCATTCCTCGCCTCCAAACCGGTCTGACGTTGTGCTACTATGATGGGCCATTTTCCCCGAGTTGATGTTGAGGGCTGCTTGAAAATGGGTAGTGGCGGTCGTGTCCCGTACGTGTCTGCTAGCCGACCTGTTGATATGTTCAGCGACCGTCGGAATAGTTGAGTCTATGTTTCCAAAAGAAGCTGACTATGTTCAGAGATTCGAAGAAACTGAGAAGTCACTGGCCGTAACGAAGCTCAAATTCAGGTCGCTGAGTATCAGGGGAGGCCGACAGTAAGAACAGTCAAACGCAGATTCGGGTGGAGAAATTTCTTTCTGATCGAAAATCTCCATTCAGACTTTGCCCCAATCTCCCCAGGCTGCATTCCCGCAGGTACCGATTGTGCGCCAAGTTCGGCGACCACGTCAGCATCACGGCTTGGTACGAAGCGTTCGCCTCCGTCGTTGGGGGTCCGTCCGCCGTGACTGACTCAGACCACGCAATGGACCCCCCTCCAGAGTCGTCAGCGAAAGTTCCGCCCCATCCGACGGAACGGGAGTTCCCTTTGCAAAAGGTCCGGGGGAGAGGGAAGCCCCGGAAACGGCTGCTTCCGCAGGAGAAGGAAGCGGACGGAAAATGGAACGGGGGAGAGAGGGAGGCTGCGCGCGCGTTCACAGAGGAAGAGAGGGCGACGCTGCAGTATCCTTGCAGCCACAGCGCAGACTTTACGTTTGTGTTTCTTTCCCTCGAGTAGTCGCTGGTTTGAGGATCGTTGGGGCCGTTTTTCTGAAAGTGTTGTCGCGCCTGCTTTGCGCTTTGACGCAAATCAGCGCGTGGCTCGGATCCCTTCGTTGCCCCGATCTTGCCGGAAATAGCGAAGCCGCTTTTTTCTGTTGCCCGCTAAACACGGTGCAACCCGCGTTCTGCCTCGTGGCTGTCGTTGGGCTGACCCAAAGTTTCTTTGGAGGATGGTTCCAATGCTTTTTTTGGCTCTTTAAAGGCTTATAAGCACTTTTTTACGCTCTTTGTTGGACCGCTTTCCTTGGTGCCGGCTTGTGCTGTACAATCTCGTTCTCTAAATCTCATCGTCAAAGACAGGGACGAACTAATGACCAGAAGATGACTGCTTCCCCTGCTTGAACCACGAACATCCTTGACAGACTGCCTCAACAGAGCTCGCTTCTTCCAAGCCACGGCGGAGCTGCAGTTTCTTGGCCTCATAAGGCCCTCCCCGCGGAGGTCTGAGCATGTCCAAAAGGTGACGTGCTAGACGTCACGCTAACACCTGGATAAGCGGCGGTATTGCTTTACAAAGACCAGCCAGAACTTGAAGCTTGCACGCCATAAGCATGCAAACGGGGCCAGTTGTGCCAAAAAAGGCGCAACAAGGAACTCAGACCCGTGCCTTCAATGGAATAGACGTGTTACTTACATTCAAGAGCCTCCACAACCTCTGACCCTACGAGCATATTTGTGCTATGGATTCAATCATTGGCGGTGCCATCCTGTAGGGTGCACGCGAGTCGTCAAGCATGATGCGCATTGATTTGCCGCACCATGGCCGGCCGCTAGCTGGCGAGCAGAAAGGTTGGCCGGGCCTCCGAGTCTTGCGATTGGTCGCCTGAGTTCATGACTTCGCCGCGTTCGGTATTATAATTGGACGCTCCCTTGGTACTTGTCAGTACCAAGCATGCGCTTGATAATCGCACGCAGTTGCCTCGCTGCTAACGGTCATACATATCTTTTAAAGTTCCGCCATCAAACCTTGTATAGCCTTCTGTGACGGTGCCTATGTACACGTATTGGCGGGCATG